ATCAAGTCATTCCCCAAGGACATGCACCCAATGACGCAGCTGTCGGTGGCAGTTGCAGCACTGAACACGGAGTCGACCTTCGCCAAGGCGTACGAGCGTGGCCTGAACAAGGCAGACTACTGGGAGCCCACATTCGACGACAGTATTTCGTTACTGGCTAAGATTCCACGTGTGGCTGCATTGGTGTTCAGACCAAACGAGATCGACCAAGTCGGGACACAGGCTCTCGACGCGACACAGGACTGGTCGCACAACTTTGCCGAACTGCTGGGCAAGGGTGGAGCCGAGCATAGCGACTTCCACGACCTGCTGCGTTTGTACCTGGCGCTGCACGGCGACCACGAGGGCGGCAACGTCTCGGCGCACGCGACGCATCTGGTGGGCAGTGCCCTCAGCGACCCGTTCCTCAGCTACAGCGCAGGACTGCTTGGTCTGGCCGGCCCGCTGCACGGACTGGCGGCGCAGGAGGTGCTGCGGTGGATTCTGGCGATGCAGGAGAAGATTGGCACTCAGGTGACGGACGAGTCGGTGCGCACGTACCTCTGGGACACGTTGAAGTCGGGACGGGTGGTGCCAGGCTACGGACACGGCGTGCTGCGCAAGCCGGACCCGCGATTCGAGGCATTGATGGACTTTGCGGCGACACGGGCAGACGTGCAAGCGAACCCAGTATTCCAGCTGGTCAAGAAGAACTCGGAGATTGCGCCAGAGGTGCTGACGCAGCATGGAAAGGTATGTGCCTGTTCGCCACTTGTTTAGTATCAGACTAACACATCGTAGACAAAGAACCCCCACCCCAACGTGGACGCCGCCTCTGGCGTGCTGTTCTACCACTATGGCTTCCAGCAGCCGCTGTACTACACGGTAACCTTCGGTGTGAGTCGGGCCCTGGGACCCTTGGTGCAGTTGATCTGGGACCGGGCCTTGGGACTGCCGATCGAGCGACCGAAGAGTATCAACCTGAAGGGGTTGGTTGGCAAGTGAGTTGATATATTGACTGTTGTATCTAGCCTGAAGTAAGCAAGCATCATTTAGAAGTCATATCTCGTTATACCCATATTACTCCATTATCACCTAGAGAAAGGGAGAGAGAGAGAGAGAGAGAGATCACTCCCTCTCAACCCTAACCTCCATAATCTTCTGAATCCTCCATCCACTCCCATTCCCATTGCCATTCCCACTCACCCAAGCACTCCCCGTAACCATACTACTCGAACTCCCACCCCCAACCGCACTCACCCCAAACCCTCCCCCAACCCCAGCCTCCATCATATCCTCATCACCACCATTCCCAAACCCTCCCTCCCTGACCCTCGCCACAGCCGGCAAACTACAAACCGTCGTCGTCGTCGGCGCCACCCCACTCCCATCCCACACCCCTCCATACCCACCACTTGGACTACAACTCCTCCCTCTCCCATCACCACCATCACCACAACTACTCCGACTGCGACTCCGACTCCTACTCCTCACCGACCGTCCCTCCTCACTCCCACTCGTCCCAAACAACATCCCACTCTCCAGCCCCAACTCCAATCCACCCATGCCCAACCCCCGAGCAACCTCATCCAAACTCGCATCCACTAAATCACGACTCTTCTTCCGACCCCCACTGTTGGTGACTATCGAACTAGCAGTGGTATTCCGTGTCTGCGTCTTGCGTAGCGGATACGACGTACTCGTCGTCGTCGTCGTCGGCGACGTCAAATACGTCAGCGTAGCGTAGGTATTATGCGGGTTATTGTACGTGTTGTTGGTGGTATGTGTGCGGTTGTTGTTGTAGCTGGATGATAGGGTGGACGCGAAGGCGTGGAAGAACGGGCCGTAGGTTGGGATGCAGGTTATTATTACCTTTTACCATTATCAATCAACATCAGTATGGGATTGAGCTAAGTAGGGGTAAGGGAAGGGATGGGGACTGGGGGAAGGCGTACGCCCAAGCTGATTTCCACATCCGACCAGATGACGATAGGTTGGCTGTCTGTGTAGGTTTTTAGGTTCTTGATTGTGAAGATCCGGATTATTTGGATTATTGTTATGAAGAAGCCGAGGGCGAAGACGCCGACGAGGGCTATCTATATATTTCTTGTTAGAATGGGTTTGTTGGGGGGAAAGGGTGGTGTAGGGATGGGGTAGGGTAGGGTAGGGTACCTTTTGACGAAGACGCAGTTGGAGAGTGAGGAGGACGGGGAGGGGCAGGGCGATTATGATTATGTCGAAGCCGAGACTGGTTCCTGTTTTTCTTAGTTTCCATTCTACTGAGGTAGATAGGTGGTGGTGAGAGTGGTGGAGGTGGTTACCTGCGAGAGCTGATTCATCGTTAGTATATTATTTAGTATATGTTGGGTATATGGGGTTGGGCATACCATAATAAGACGCTACCGTATCTATGCATGATCCAGGGAGACTGGTATCCCATTGACGAGCAACCTACATATGATACCTTATTAGTGTATATAATTGAATCAATAATGGAGGGGAGACATACCGGATTACAAGCAAACAACAGCAAGAAAGTAAACACCAACTGGTTGCACGTCACCGCCACAATAGCCACGATGATCGTCACGCGGTACGCCTGCACGAAGCCCCCAATGCGCAGGTACGATGACAGCAGGGAGACTTTGAATCCGAGTAATGCAAGCGTGTAGACGGGGCCACCGGCGTATTGGATCTACATACATCATTAGCCATTTATCCAGGTTGATGTAAGTTAGGATGGGGATGTATGTACCTTGCTGAACATGACCACGTTCTGATCAGGGAAGTACTTCGCATCTAGACCTAGACCCCATCTTGTTTCTAGCACAGACTATATCAGTATATGTAATATATCAACATGGTGAAGAGAAAAAAGGGATGTCTCACGCGCAACAGCAATTCCAGCATACGTCATAGCCAGCAGGGCACTCCATAGCGCCGCGAAATCATCCAACCAGGCGGACCTCTTCGTATGAATGCGAATATACAATCTCAAGAAGACCGCCAAACAAGCCGTAATCGAGAAAACGAGACAGATGGCAATGACGCGAGAGACATGACTCTGGGGATCAGGGACGGTCAGATTGTAGACCCAGCCCATTTCGGCATGTTGAAGTCAATCATCAATTATCCATCTAAAGAACAACCCAAAGAAATCAGCTTCAGAATCGAGGAGGCGGAGCTGAGCGATGAGGTTTGTTAATATATGATGAATACGCAAATGCAAGAAAGTACATTCTCTCCCACCCCTGCAGAAAAGAAAGAAGGGAAAAAAAAAACATAAAAAAAGAAAAAGAGGATAGGTAAGAAGAAAAAGTGTTTACCGCTATGTCACTAAGTACCCTACCTAACCTAACCTACTTACCTCCCAATCTCCTGAAATCAATTATGCAAATAAGGAATTAGGAATCTTTGATGGATGATGTGTCGACCCAGACCTGATCTGAACTCAATCTACGGTCTACGGCCGCACCCGGACCAGAACAGAACAGGACACAACCGGGAGTGGAGGTCTGGTTCGTGTGCAGAGGCTAATGAGAGTTTAGTACTATTTTTCATTTCTTTTTCTTCTGCATAATGCTAGAGCCTGACGCTGGCTCGTGATGAGATACGCATGTGCCTGCATGGAGGAGGTGCACGAGGAAGGGGGGAATAATGATAGGTGGGAAAGGTCAACTCTCGGTCAATGCGCGGGTTCCACTTTATGCAGACTAATTAGGGCACGGATCATGTCCACTAACTACCAAGGAGATAGACAGCTAAGTAAAACTAGTGTAGAGAACAAAAGCAATGTGCACAGAAAGAAAGACAAAACAAGGACAAGGGTATTCTTATTATTGATTAGTTCATATCTCATCTCACCGAATAGTCCCATGCTATCACCACAACATCCATATTCATAATCCATCATAACACTAAACAAGGTTTAAACCTTCAAAAGCTATCATCCACGGTACCGCATCTTTGGTGATTTCATATCCCGATCGCGTCGGGGATAAACACACGAATCAAACACGCCGGAAAAGAACTCAGTGTGAGCTTTTGAGTAAGTTACTAGAAGGAACTTTCGGGGTTTCTGCTCTCTCTGTGTGTGTAGGGTAGGAATTAGTCGGTGTAGCCGGAAGTAAGAAGTAGGAAGCAAACTAGCAGGGGAGGCCCTTGTCTAGTGGACATTAATTTTAATTGGGGGAGTGTCGATCCTCATCCACCACCGGAGGAACCATGGCATCCATCCATCTATCTATCTGCCTTGGGCGGTTATGTGTGTGTGTGTGTGTGTGTGTGTGTGTGTGTCGGGGACCTGAGCATGCATGCATGGCTGGCATGTTCATGTTCATGTTCTGTTCATGTGGATATGGACGTAACCGACTTTCTCCTCTTCAACTTTCTTTCTTCGTACTTTGTACACAGCATCACCATCATACCCTACCTCCCAAAAAATAAACTGGTTAGGTTTATTCAGCCATGATGATCCGATCCAACAATAATTATTATGCCAATTATTGTCATTTCTTTCTTTCTTTTCTTCTGCTATTCCTTCCTGCATAAGTGAGGCGCACAGTACTAACTCACTTCTTGGCTAGGACACCGTAGCTATAACACACACTATTATAGCACTATTAATTATTCCCGCAGCATCACCACCAATCTCCTCCCCATCCGTGCATGCACATCTCATTTCCCACCACCAGCAGACTCTCCTCCGTACGGACCACAGCATACAGTAAAAAGTAAAATACCCGACAACCCGACACCCGACCCGATCAAGTCCGCAAACCTGGCAGCCACCTACTAATCCTCCCAGAGTTAACACAGTAATAAAAATAAAATAAGATTATGTAGGTCTCCGAGTAGTACTTACTTTATAGTTAGTGGGTAAGTATGTGCACGGGCAAGTTACCCAGCCACTCATGAGGAAGACATGTAAAAAATCTAAGTATGTATGTACTTATGAACAATATGCCCAAACAAAGCAAAATAATAAACATCATAGAATTTTAAATAATAAAATATAAATAATAAAATGCAGTTAGAAATACTCCCAACCATCCGCATCATCATCAGAAGTAGAAACCCGACATAACCTCCCATCAGGATACATCGTCCACTCATCCGAACCCACAGCCGTTTGGGCATAAAACACATCGAGCGGGTCATATTTCTTCTTGATCTGTCGTAGTCGGGGATAATTCACTCCGTAGAATGCTTTTTGAAAATTGGGTTGGCGGAAGTCGCCCTATCCATTTCTGTTAGTCTTCTCTTCACAGTTACAATAAATAGATAGAGGTGGAAAGTAAAAGTAGTCAGGGGAGAATACCTCATTCATATAAGCCCCCGAATCCGGCGCCAACCGTTCCAACAACGGCAAATACTCATAAGTCATTTTATATTGCTGCACCAGCATATCCTGGCGCGCATCCCACTGCCATGGCGTCGTAAGCGTCGTATCAATTAACGTATCCCGCCAAGCAGGCAACACCGCATTATCCACATCCCCAACTAACGCCTTCGACACATTCAATCCCACCCCGATAAACGTCGCCCCGTCCTCCGTGATCTGGCGATACGCCGCCGTCAACGCAGTGTTATTTTCGTGCACTACCGATCGCGGCATCAGCCATCCGCCGTATTGCGCCTCCCCGACGGGGATGTTGGGCATCATGCCGTTGAATTCAGCCAGATAGGTCGGGAATTGCTCTGCGTAGAGGGTGTATCTGATGCCCATTTTCTCTAACCCGTCGCGGAAGGGTTTGAGGAGGGAGATGAGTTCCTGGACGGTGATGTTGGGCCCCGTTAGTGGCGCGATGTAGAATATCGTGTTGGTGAAGTACCAGATGCTCATTGCGCCGGCGTCGACAATAGACGGGAGGAGGGAGTGGTAGAGGCCTACTGCCGAGTAAAAAGTGTCTTGGGAGATGTTGGTATTGGTAAACGTGAGGTTCAGTCCGGAGACAGGCGTGCCAGTATGTAACTTGGAGGTCATGGACCAAACGACGCCGTACGTGCCGCCGCCGCCACCACTCAAGGCCCAATACAGGTCCTTGTATTCGTTGTCGCGGGTAGCGGTGATGAAGCGCCCCGTGCCGTCAATGACCTCCCATTTCAGGACTTGGTCCGCAGCGAGGCCGTAGCGCGAGGATAGGGCCGAGTGGCCGCCGCCTTGGGAGTAGCCGCCTGCGATGCCGACGGTCGGACACTCGCCGCTGACGACCTGGTAGCCGTGGGCGTCGGCGGCCTCCCAGGCTTCGTATCCCTGGACGCCGGCACCCAGGCGGATGGCCTTGCCGGAGTAGTGGGGATCATGGTGGTCGACGATGTCGATGTCCTTGAGGTGATGGGTCCAGATGCCGAGGGCGCCAGCGCCGGTGGATTTGCCGTTGTAGTCGTGGCCGGTGTTGCGGACGACGACGCGGAGGTTGTGGGCGGTTGCGAAAGCCAGAGCGCGCGATATGTGGCTGGGTTGACTGACGTTCACGGCATAGACGATGTAGTTGCCCAGGGTGCAGGGCTTGACAATGGGGTGGAAGGGATCGCACGAGCCGTTGGCGAACCAGGGGGCCATGATGGAGGAGGACGATTCATAGCTTGACTCGGTTAGCGGATGTGTTTGCTTTTGCGAGGACGAGGCTGCGAGTCAGCCTGACCCAAGACAAAAAAAGCTTACTGGATTTCGGGCTCCGTCCATTGTTCGCGAAGGTAGTCGCACACCCCTGCTTGGTAGGAGGGAGTGTGGCAGGGCCTGCCGAGAGGGATGGTCTGGATTAGTCGGCCGTCAATGGATTCGTTGAATTGAGTCCATTCAGCTGGTGAGGGCCAGCATTTCTCCCCCGGGAAGCAGCGGCAGGTGGTGTTGGAGGATTGGATGGTCACGGCTGCATTCCCTACGGCCGACAGCAGGGCCACGAGGCTGGCTAGGAGCAGGACAAGGCCCGAGAACATGACGGATAGGTGCAGATGGAGGAAATCCGAGATGGGGATGACAGGAATGCCAGCGGGTTTATAAGAGGAGCCGTGCCCTGTGGTGGAGTGGCAGTCATCGCGTGGCAGGAAGAACCGAAGAAGAATGACCGACGCGCTAATCCAGGGGAAATTACCGAGCAGTGAGCAGCAGCAGTTGCGGAGAATGTTCCATAGTGTGGAAGTTGTTTTTAGATGCCATGCAAGTGGAGCACTGGGGTGGAGGTGACAATCAGACAGGCAGACAAGAATACCCACTAAGTGACTCAGCGGATACTCCAAGAGGGTCTGTCTGTCTGTCTGTCTGTCTGTCTCTCATGGATGAAGCCATCAGCATGCACCAGGCAGAAAAGGCTTAGGGCTTGACTATCGCGTGGTGTTTCGTCAGTCTTTGCCACTAGAGAATTAGTTGACTAGTTAGTTTGCAGACTCAAACCAAGCCATCCTGATTCAGGATCCATCCGACCTGCAGCTTAAGCTCCTCCCCAACGCATGCGTGGTTTTTTCTTTCTACTTGATCTTCTGTTCCCCTCTCCTCGTGCATCCGATCATCCCGTGCAATGCTTAGCGGGCCTCGTGTCGCGGTCGCTAGCGGTCAAGAGAAAGGAATAGTCCTGATGCTGACAGACAATTTAACTACCTAGTCAGTGATAGTCTAGAACCGAAGCGGGCGCTGGTCCAGCGGTGACTGACGGATGGGCCGGCGGACGTTCCCTTCGGACAAATCAGGGCAAGATGTGCTGATCAGCAAGGGATGATGCTTTGGGCATCCCGTGGTGCGATCGCTGTCTGCTGCTGCCATGGTCGGGAACAGTACGGAGTACTCTGGTTGTACGGAGTACTTGGTAGAGATCTCTAGTATCATCTGTTGGTTGACTTAGGGTTGCTATCTGACCAGTCTTCTGCACGAGTCAGTCCCCCGATCGCGATCGTACCAAAACATGAATAAGACGTCCAAAATGGCTTTAATGGATTAGCATGGTCATGAATCATCATATATACGCTTCTGCCTACTATTTACAACTTCGCCTCACCCCCCGCGAGACGCTGCCAATCTTTCTCACCAAACTCTATGTAGCCCTCCGACCCAGGAGGCAACCAAAACAGCCGGTCGCGGTGGCCCTGCACCACCTTCGACCCCAACTTGGCTGGCTCCACGCCCTCCTGGCGCAGCGGCCCCTTGTTCTGCTTATGGTTATGAATATGCCATGACTGTTCCACGACGCGCAAGAAGACCGGCACCGCATACCGCGGCAGCTGTGCACGCGCGAACCGGGCCAGTCCCTGCCCGTCAAACCCGCTGCGGGCCTCGGGACTGAGCAATAAGGCCGCACATCCTGCGCGGCCTTCATGATGAGGCACTTTCACTCCATACACATTGGCTTCCTGGATGCCAGGATACTGGCCCAGTACTTGAGCCACTTCTGCCGTGGACCTGCATGATCAACCATTAGCCAACACCAACCACGATGACAAATAATCACAAAGCAAGGGATAGTAAGAATAGACATACACATTCTCACTCTTCCACCGGAACGTATCTCCCAGCCGATCGAGGAAATACCACCTCCCATCCCCATCCCGCCTCAACGCATCTCCAGACCGATACCACAAATCGCCTTTCGTCAGCACATCTCGCATGAACTTCTTCTTCGTCGCCGCTTCATTCCTCCAATACCCCTGAAACGCCTTCTCATCTGGCACCTTGACCAGTATCTCCCCGCCCTCATCATACGGCGCCCGCTTCACCAGCCCCATCTTCTCATCACGCACCGCATCCCCCGTCTCTGCATCCACCACGACAGGAATATATGTATTCCTCAAACTTGTCCGCAATAACAACCCATGATGCCCGACAGCCGCCGCCGTGAACGGCCCGCGATTGAGGTTAAACAGCCCGAAGACCCCCTCCGTGCTGTTAAAGAACTCCCCGACCTCCGCCACCCCGAACCGCTCCCGGAACCGCTCCCAGACGTCCGGCCGCAGACCGTTCCCGTACATCATGCGCACCCCGTGCTCCCGGTCTTGGGGGGATGGCGGTGCGGCCAGTAGATACCGGACTACTTCGCCGACATACACGAAGACCGTGGCCTGAGAGGCCCGGACATCGGGCCAGAAATTGCGCACACTGAATCGCGGCGCGATGGCGATGCTTCGTCCGCCGACTATGTTGTTGATCATGGCGATCGCTGACGTCCCGTGGTACAGCGGCATCGCGCTGTACCACCTGTCCCCACCGGGGCCGGACACGTTGGTTATGTTACTGTTGCGGATGGCCTGAGTGGCATAGAGCCGGGAGGTGGTGAAGGCGCAGCCTTTGGGCAGGCCGGTCGTGCCGGAGGTGTAGAGGAGGATGGCTGGAAATTCGCCAGGGACGTGGGAGGCCAACTGACCGTTCATCGGCACCGACGCCGGAAATGAAAGCAAATGGTTATTAAATGCATCGTCAACAGTGACGAGCTGCATACCCAGCTCATTCTCGATCGTCGATCTTCGCTCCTCAATGCGAGCCATACATTCAGGCTCCGGGTCAACCAGCAGCAGCTTGGCGCCACTGATGGATAGGCAATGCATCAGCGCATCGCCAGTCAGGTTGTAGTTGATGGTTGCCGGGGCACACCCGATGCTTAAGAGCCCTAACCAGGCGAACATAAATTCCGCCCGGTTCTGCAGGTAGAACGCCACCAGGTCGCCCTTTTGCACCCCCTTCGACAGGTAGAAGTGGCCGTACCGGGCTGCAGCGGCTAGGGCTTCCCGGTATGTGTAGGACTGTTCGCGTGTCCAAATACAGACCATGTCGGGGTACTGCGATGCCGTGGCTGCGAAGACGGGCCACATGCTCAGTTGGCCTTGTGCGGCGGCTTTCGCTGTGTCGCGGAGGGAGCGCCGCTGGGCTAGCATACTGGATGCATCGTTGGTGAGGTGGAATTTGGCATCTAGGTAGGCGGCTAGAGCGATGGCTGCGGCTCCTGTTGATGTTGCTGCGCGGTGATGCCATTGATGTTAGTGCTGTGCTACATGATGTACATAGTCTATATGTCAAGGGTGTTAAGGGGAGATCACCTAACGCCATGGTCAGGCCGGTTTCCAACTTGAGATATGTCGCTAAAAATGCTGTGAGAGGAATAACTGTATATGCTATGGAGATAGATTAATTGTCAAGATATGAGGGGAAGACATGGAGTAGGTAGATTTCATTGCCGACCACATCCTCGGTCCAGGCTACTATGTGTGTCTCTCCGCATCCGGATAATATGCAGGAGGCGCTGCGGAGCAAATCACGGTTGTCCCAAGGGCTCAAGCGGCGGGGGTGCGGCCAGTTCCTCCTCTCTCTCGTTCTCAACCTCGGGTCAAACAGCTGGCCTTCAGATTGCTTTTTTTGGGGGGGAAGGGAGGAATGTTTGGAACAGAGTGGGTCGCGAAGCTTCTTCAGGATCCATAATTCTGGAGATTCAACGTTGCGGTTCCCACCAGGTCTGGCAGTGACCCAGTGTTTTGCCCCAACGGTTCGGTTACTTTGTTTTATCTCCTATGGAACACGTACGATGCTGTTCCTAGCTGTCTAGCTGGCTACCATGGCATTGTGCATTATCTTGTGGCTAGGTGGGGCGTAGATCGGAGGAAATAGTGGTGACAAATCATCAAGGGACTTCCTTTTTGGTCGTTGTGATGCACGCAAGGGGGATGATGCAGCGTGATATATACCTTTCTCGGTGAAGAATTGTTTCTCCTGGTTCAAGCTTATCCGGTTGCGGAAGCCTGAGCCGCTGGTGTTTATTTCAGCAAACACCAGGATGCAGCCATGTATGTCCTAGACAACATCTCGAATCTCTCTCTCCGGGACCAAATGCGCATGCACTCCTCTTTCATCCGGGTGATGCTCCTTCCACGTCCAGGCCTCGTCTTTTTCGCGTCCATTCGACACCCCATGCAATACGTTGATCACGTATTTGCCAATGGTCGGGAGGAACTTGTAGCAATGGAATGATCCCCCTACTGCGAAATACAAGTTGGACAGTCGATCGTCTGGATGGCGGGTAATTAGCGGATGCTGGCTGGGCGAGATTGCATCCCAGCATATGCGCCAGTAGTCGGGACGGGGATGGTCCTCAAGAAACTGTGGCAAACGAGGTCGAATAGCGCGCAGATGATCTTCCTGCAATGCTTCAGGCACATGAGTTTGATCTACCAGCGGCACCGAGATTTCATGTCCGGACGCAGTGCGGATGGTGTTCCTGAACGAAGCGGCCGTAGTGAACTTGAGGATTCCTTCTGCAGTGGGAGGGATGACCTCGCCTGGATGCGTCAGCTTGTCCACGCCAGGCCAGGATATAACCCACCTTCTCCTCCGTAGACAAACACCGGCAGCTGCGAGTAGCGGGGATTTTCCTCCGACGAGAGTTGAAAGTGCGAGACTGTTACTCCCGCTGCTGATACCTGCTGCTCTACTCGGTCTGGTCCCGGCAGGTCCAAATCATCCTCCACCGAGGACATGAGCTGACTTGTCCATGCCCCAGTGGCCAACAAGACCTTTCGAGCGTGGTAGATGGTACCGTCTGCTGTTTTAACACCACTGACTCCATTTTCGTCACGAACGATTCTGCGCGCCTCCCCGACCTCATATCGGACACCCAGCTTGATCGCTTCTTGTGCCATCAGCTGTAATGCTTTTCCTGCGTCCGCCCAGCCGGCAGAGGAGTTATAGTAGAATGAGCCAAACGGGGAGCAATCTGTCTTCTCCAGTAGTCCACACCATGCGTGACGGACCTTCTCTTCGGACCATTCTTCGATGACGTCGGCGCGACCACAATCGCGGAAGTTCTTCCTTATCAATGCGGGGACATCGCTATCTTTCTCCTCTAAGGCGATCCATCCCGAGGGGTGGTAGACTCGTGCATCTTGGAAGAATGGCAGCGACTTCCACTGTTCAATAGCTTCGAACCCCAAAGCGACGTAGAGAGGATTAGTGTAGTCGGCACGAATGATCTTGTTGATATCGGTAGATGCCGCGGGGGTGGATGGCGGGGCGGCGCGATCTAACAGGACGATCTGTGACGGTCGCTCGAGCTGCCGAGCGAGATGGTAGGCTGTGCTAACCCCGAAGATGCCAGCACCCACGATAAGAATGTCTGGGACGTCTCGGGAAGTATCCATGGGGGGAGGTGGGAGATGGAATATGAGTGGTGGTGATGGGCAGATGGAAGGTTGACAATGTGATCTGGACCACGTGCGGGGAAGGAAAGAGGAGAAAGGAAGGAGGGGAAGACAGCAGATGATAAAAAGCAGATAAAAGCAGGAAAGAGTGTTATCAATCCAACTAAACCATCCAACCAACCATCTAACCGGGATTGCATCCCTTCAGTCAAACCCCTCGATCACGCGCCGAGGGAGTCTCGGAGTCTTCCGCTTTTTGTTGCGCTGAAGCCATTATGGCATAAGCATGAGTCCATCCCATCTTCCTTTTCATCTGCGCCTTTCTCCTCCTCATCGTCATCTTTCAACATCCACTTTCCGGAGTCCATCTCGAATTTGGTGCCTGGTGCTGTTCGCCTGCATTTCCATCGGGCCTTGAAGCTTAGTTCCGCATAGTTAGCAATCAGGTACGAGAAATGATGACCCAGACCACATGGGTGCCCCTCTGCTGTCGTGGCGCTTTCTTCACGTCCCCTTTCATTCACTGCCATTCACTGTTCTCGCTTCTCTCGGTGCTACTCATGATCCTCGTCTGCTCCGTCTGCACCGTCTGCACTGTCTGCACTGCTATTCTCTCCCCTCGTCTCCTCTTCCCCCCTCGCCGACTAAGCACCCCGGCAGCGACTAATCACCCCGCCGTCATCATGGCGTCTGCATCTCGTTATCAGTTGGCTGACATTCTGAAAATTAACCCTGCAGCTGATCACCACTGTGTCGGTGTCTCGCACTCCTACAATCGCCGGTGCAACAATTTGATCAGCTATCAGAAGCGTGACGAAGCGTACACTCTGATCGAACGAGGCACCCACATCTTCACAGCAACCTCTTCCATATCCGCCGTTAATCCAATTCTCAGCGAACTTGCCAGTCTTCTGCTCTGTCCCAACCAGCACCGATACCAATATTTGACCCTGGTCGAACAGTGGGAGGCGAAACTGCAGCGGTATCTAGCTGAGCGATCTGCTGAATCCACCACAGCCATGTCGAACAGCTACCTTCATATGCCGCCCAACCCCACCATCATGGCCACGGGTAGTGGACTCGCAGTCACCAACCTCACGACCAGCCATCATGGGCCCAGCTCATCGAGCCGAATCACCATCCAGCATGGCATGGTCGGGATGGGTTCGAACCATCATCACCCGCAGAACTCAAGACCCCGAGTCGAGATCGTCCGTCCTGCGGGTGATTCCGTTGCTACCACTATGTCAGCTTCAGCTTCCGGCAGTGCTTCGCCTCTTCCGCACGCCAATTCTGCGTTCCATCATCGTCCCCACACCCCGGCGGTCCAACTCGTCAGCAGCACCTTGATCGCTTCGGGTCATACCCATCCCGCCCATCAAACAGCCCCGAGACCGATACCGTCTGGAGAAAGCAATGTGTCGATGTACTGCGACTCCCCTACGTCTCCGAAGCCTCAACGGGTCAAGCCGCGCCCCGTGGATGGCGACTGTGGAATCTGTCTTCTCCCCTATCTGGATGAGAGCATGCGCTGCGACATGTCCGACGATGAGGGAACCGAAGACGATGAGGATGATGACTGGGAGGAGATGGACGGTAAGATTCCTGACTTCATTAACTTGATGATTGAACAGTGCTAACGTACAGTGAATGTAGACGAAGAGCTTGCCGGCCCGGACTACGATCACAGCTTGCTGGTCTGGTGCCGGGGATTCTGCGGAACCAACTATCACCGGGCATGCTTGGAACAGTGGCTCGACACCTTTGACACCCTGGAGCCGACCTGCCCGACCTGCCGCAACTACTGGATTCACTAGGTGAGGGGCTATCAAGGGACTGGAAGGAGGGATAGAATGCATCACGGGAGTTTATTTTCTTTGTAACTGGCAGGATATCCACGGAGCTACGCTTCTCATGGCTTACATGGAGTTTACACTGGAAGGGAGGGAGGAATAGGAATATGGCCACGGAGTTACAGGACTGGGATTACAGCATGGCTTGATATGATATGATATGATATGATCAGATATTTCCTAAATGCACCTAATAATATGTACAGCCCATTGCCTTCCCCAATCTTCCGCGATATATCTCAAAAGATAAACCGAGTGAACTAAAGCCTCGCCACCCTCTTCTCACTCTCCCTTCCATTCAACCACGCCAAAATCGTCTCCACCAACCCATCAATCTCCTCGACCGTATTCCCCGCATGCAAACACACCCTCACCCTCTCCTTCCCCTTGGGCACAGTCGGCGACATAATCGGATGCACCATGAACCCTTTCCGCTGACATGCAGCCGCCAATTGGCGCGGCACCGGACTGCGCAGGGAGAAGATAGGCGAGCGCGGGAAATGGTCCACTTCGAAGATGGCAGGGTCCCAGGACCCGAGGGCGTCCAGACGATTGCCCAGGTATTCAATGAGGTGTTGCAGATTGCGTTGCAACTGGTACAGTTAGTTAGTCAGCTATACACTCCACTCAATGAAAGTAAGTATTAGGGATAGTAGTAACATACCTCCTCCGTCTCCCCCTCCGCCAACATCTCATACGCCGTCCGAATCGACGCCAGAAACGGGAACCCCAATGCGGTAGTGTAGATAAGACTGCGGGCGTAGTTGACAAGGTATTCGCGTGTGTCGGGGCAGCAGAGCACAATCGCTATACAGTATCAGTCAGTCAGTATACCCACATCCACACCCAACACCAAACAGGAATGAATAAACCACTAACCACCATGACTCCCCAACGCCTTCCCAAACGTATGCACGCGAATAAACATCTTCTCCTCGACCCCCAACTCCTGCACCACACCCGCACCCCTCGGCCCAAAAGCCCCGGTAGCATGCGCCTCATCCACAATAAAATACGCATTAGCATTGCCCTTACTCTTCACCACCCTCTCCACCACCTCCACGAACTCCCTTATCGGCGCAATATCCCCATCCATACTATATATACTCTCGATGACGATGAAGACGTTCCGTTCCCCACTCTTCAATTTCTCATCATTTTCAATTTCCCTTCTTAGCACATCTTCCAGGGACTGGGGACAGCTATGCGCAAAGGGGACTTTCCTCCCGGCACGGGATAACCGCATCCCCTCGTGCGCACTCGCATGGATGTACTCATCGTGGATGATGACATCGCCTGGTTGCGGGATGCAGGAGAGCACGCCTACGTTTGCGTCGAAGCCTGAGTTGAAGAGCAGCCCGCTGGGGGCGTTGTGGAAGCTCGCGATGAAGGTCTCTAGGGCTTCGGCGTAGGAAGAGTTGCCGGTTAGGAGGCGGGAGCCGCCCGAGGCGAAGGGGTAGAAGGGGGGTGCGCTGGAGAGGTGGCTGGTGTAGCGGGCGCGGAAGAGGGGGGAGGTGCTGAGGGAGAGGAAGTCGTTGGAGGAGAAGTCGGTGGAGGTGGGGGGGACGAGGGTTAGACGGCGGAGGGATTGTTTGAGGGAGCGTTGGTGGAGTGCTGTGCGGAGGGAGGTGAGGAGGTTGGGTGTGGGTGAGGGTGAGGGTGAGGGTTTGGGGGTGGAGGAGGGCATTGTGTATGTGTATATGTATGTGTATGTGTGTGTATGTGAGGGGAGGGTGAGGGAGGGCAATCGTGTATAGTGATTGCTGTTTAGAGAAGAGGAAGAAGATTAAAGAGGAGAGGAATTGAATTGAACTGAGTGAGTCAGTAAGTAGTAGGTTGAGAATGAAATTGAATATCAGATATAGTATCAACACTATCTCCGGGGGAAATGTGACACTAGATAGCTAGATATACAGATAGATAAAACGAATGTGAAATCCGGCCAGATCTCCGCCGTTCTCCTTACCAAACAGAACTAGACTAAGCAATTTAGTTTCCCATCACACCGGAAAGGCGTGGAGAGAGAGAGGGGATTTTCACACCAACTGCCAACTGATTTACCGGGTGGATCCATCCATCCAGCAGGGCGTGTGCCTGACGGAGTTCAATTGGATTAGTAGTAGTGGAATTGGCCTTAGCCAGCCATCGGGAGACATAGTAATCTCCGTAATCACAACAGATGGGCTGGTTGGTTGCCTGAGCTGCCAGATTTTCCATTGGTTTTCTGGTGGCTCTCTAGCGTTATGGGGCTGTCGGAGTTGATCCAGGAGAGACAAGGGGAAAAAAAAAAAAAAGGTGGGAAATGGATGGATACCTCGGGACGGAGAAGGACAAGCAGATGCGGCATCGAAATCGCATAACATAACAAAAATTGAACCCGTTCGGCGGATGTTGTGGGTTGACTAGACTACTGTTGGGAGATCAAGGATTCAACCGGTGGGGAGGGTAAACTAACCTAACTAACTGGTTGGTTAGTTGGTAGATTAGTTGACTGCTACGTACTCACTAAAGCACTGCCCAGTTTTATTATATTATTATGTTAATTATTTTAGATTCTGGCTGGATGCCTAAGGAATAGTGGCCCGCTGCCTGAGTGCCTCATTGATTGCCTCGGCTATTTTCCGCCTTGCAGGTTGCATATCCCGCTGTCAATCCGCCTTATCTGAGTAAAAGAGTGAGAGTGACTTTCGTGATAGCCATATACTTGGTACATAATAAAGTACCAATTCCTTGATCTCCCATTTCCCCTTACTTCTTTATATATATCTTCTATTCTTATATTCTCCTATTCTCTAATTCCTCCCCTGGCTGCCTCCCATGCCCCCCGTCGGTGCCGCCCTTTGGCGTTCCCTGCGCGCCCACCAGGTCTACGGTGCCAACACCGACGTCGGCAAGACCATTGTATCCACCGTTCTCTGCAATGCCATCCAACGTCTCAACTCTCAATCTCCCGCGGCATTCTTGAAACCGGTGTCAACCGGTCCATTAGACGATGCAGATGACCGGTACGACATAATTCAAGGCCCCCAGCCCCAAGTTTCATCCCGCTCACTACTAGCCCAGACACATCCGGCGCTACGCCCCGGGCACGCTGACCAAGTGTCTGTACCAATTCGACGAGCCCGTCAGCCCACACATTGCGGCGAAGCAGAAGCAACTGACGGTGCGATTCCCAATTCATCTGACTCTATGGTGGTGCAATGCGCCAACAGCCGAGCAAATGGATGAGTGAGCTCACAATAGCACAGGTTCCGCGGGATGATGATATCATCACCTCCATCCATCAGACCCTTTCCGACTGGGCAGCACAGGGCATTGATTTTGCCCTCGTTGAAACAGCAGGCGGCGTGCACTCGCCGGGCCCTAATGGTAATTCCCAGGCCGATCTGTATCGGCCTTTACGGTTGCCGATTGTTCTGATTGCGGACTCCCGCCTCGGTGGCATCTCGTCCTCCATTTCGGCGTATGAGTCATTGTTATTGCGCGGGTATGATGTGAATTCTGTGTTGCTGTTTCAGGATGATTACTACCAGAATCATGAGTATCTGCGCACCTATTTCCAGAAAAAGAGTATCCCCCTGGTGCCGCTGCCGCAGCCCCCCGCGCGCCCGGCATCGCGGGATGCGGATGCCGAGGCCCGTGATGAGGAGGCCATGGCTGGGTACTACGAGCGTGTGGCGCGGGGTACCGATGTCGCTGGGTTGTTGGAGGAGATGACAGCGAAGAATGAGGCGCGAATTGAGCGCCTGGAGGCCATGTCCGGTCGGGCTCACGAGACCATTTGGTATCCGTTCACGCAGCACCACGGGATGGCGCCGAAGGATATTACGGTGATTGATTCTGCGTACGACGATTTCTTCCAGACTTACAAGCCTGCGGAGCCCTCGCAGGAGGGTGGCCTGCGCGCGACGTTCGATGGCTCCGCCTCGTGGTGGACGCAAGGTCTCGGGCACGGAAACCCCGATCTGGCCCTGTCGGCGGCGTACGCTGCAGGTCGCTACGGTCATGTCATGTTCCCCGGGAATATCCACGAGCCTGCACTGACTCTGGCGGAAACGCTGCTGCAGACGGTCGGGAACCCGCGTCTGCAGAAGGTCTTTTACAGCGACAATGGCAGCACGGGCATGGAGGTGGCTATTAAGATGGGTCTTCGGGCGGCATGTGACCGGTACGGCTGGGATGCCAGCCAAGAGCAGATTAGTATCCTCGGCCTCAAGGGCAGCTACCACGGTGATACGATCGGAGTGATGGACTGCTCGGAGCCTTCTACATACAACAAGAAGGTGGAGTGGTACCGGGGTCGGGGTTACTGGTTCGATTACCCCCAGGTGCAGATGTCACAGGGAGTGTGGAAGGTACAAATCCCCGAGAATCTGCGGTCGGCCTTGGGGCCTGACCTCGAGTACTCGTCGTTGGATGCGGTGTTCGATCTGGAGACGCGGGTCGCCTCGGAGGTTGGACAGCGCTACCAAGAGTACATCCGGGGGACGATCGCAGAGCTGGTGCAGCAGCAGGGAATGAAATTTGGCTCGCTGATCATGGAGCCGGTGATCTTAGGAGCGGGAGGCATGCTATTCTGGTGAGTTTTTCCATCCTGTTTACAACAAGATAGGTAGTATACACGCCGCATACTGACCAATCACTAGTGACCCCCTCTTCCAGCGGTGCCTGGCTGAAGTGGTGCGTGGTCACCCGGAGCTCTTTGCCCCTGGCGCCACTGCAGGCGCGGCGGCGGGATCGTCGTGGTCGGGACTCCCAATCATCTTCGACGAGGTGTTCACCGGGCTGTACCGGCTGGGACAGCGATCGTCGGCCTCTTTTCTTGGGGTGGATGCCGACATCGCGGTCAACGCGAAGCTGCTCACAGGCGGGCTGGTACCGCTATGCACGACGCTGGCGAGCAACGAGGTGTTCCAGGCGTTCTCGAGCCCGCACAAGAGCGATGCGCTGCTGCACGGGCACAGCTACACGGCGCACGCGGTTGGGTGCCAAGTCGCGGTGGACTCATTGCGAACGATGAAGCAGCTGGAACGCAGTGGGGCATGGGACAAGTACCGGCGGGATTGGCAGCCGGCGGCGCTCCCCTCTGCGCCCCGGGCGCGACCGGAGGTCTGGAGCGTCTGGTCGCATGGGTTGGTAGGGCAGCTGTCCCAAGCGCCGGCTGTGGAGGGGTTATTTGCCCTGGGAACGGTTTTGAGTATTGCCCTGAAGGATACTCAGGGCGGAGGTGAGTTGAATTTCCCTCCTGTCGATTAACTTTTTTTTTTCGTGTTTATTGGCCGAGAATAGCCGCTAACCGGAGGGCACAATCTCTGCTGCAGGATACACGTCGACGGCGGCCCAAGGACTGCAGCAGCGGCTGGCAGCGGGTGGGGAGCATTTTGCAGTGCATTCACGCGTGCTGGGCAATGTGCTGTACCTGATGGCCAGTGTCACGTCAACCCCGGAGGCATTACGGGAGATTGAGGAAGTGCTGCGGGCGGCGTTGTTGGTGGAGTGAAGAAGATTCTTCCGATCAGATCTATAGTACAGTGTATACGACACAATACACCATAGATAACGACAAACTACGTAGAAGTAAACTAGTATAGTATAGGCATAGACATGACATAACGGACAAACAATGACATTGTGATTGGCATAGAAGGAATTAAGTTTTGTTTTTTCCCCCTTGTGATTCCGATCCTCGTTTTGCTTAACAATTGCTTCCTCACCGACGGCCCGAACAGAGCCAGACTGTTTGAGACTCAACAACCAATCAGCGGCAATGTGATCCGGGTTGCTGCAGCGGAGCTCCTTTGGTCCGTAACAAGTGGATCTTTCCATCGTCATAACCCCATTCTTCGACTCTGGAGGGATTGAGGGCAAGTTGACTCTGACTGTGTGGGATTGCTTCCCCCCAGCAAAGCACATGCAGCCAAGCCAACCCCCCCAAAGCCAGTTCCCTCCGAGCAGCCATTGATTCTCCTATGCCTAATATTATCTGGGATCAAAAGTTGATCCATCAATTTAGCCAAATCATCTCACCGGAGGCGAAGTCAATCAATACCACTATCTCCTCTGAATCAAATCGTCAACTTGGTCAATTACTAGGGTATGGATGTTGTGGTTGACCACACCCGGTTGGGGTCAACAAGGGCTGCCGCCCACCCGCAACACTTACTCACTCATGCTTAATTCCATTCGATCGGCGCTGACTGGCTGGCCAACTATCTGTCTGACACTAATGTTAATCCGGTTGTTGTGAGATGATAGTTAGTAGTAATAGTCTGCTGCCCCTCTTTTCGCCCGAGGTGTTAGTTAGCAGTATGGAGAGAGAGCAGTCTAGTAATTACTCCGTAGTAGTTAATTAATAGTGTGTAGCCTGGAACACTCCTTCACTCACTGTCAACAATCATCTCCCCTCTTCTCTTCCCCAGTACCTCTTCATCTTTCCACCACTTCATATACTACATCCCCATCTACACACAACACCCACCACACAGAGACAAAATCATACACAAAGCATCACACAATGTCTCTCCGTACCCTCCCCGGGGTCCTCTTCCGCCGCAACTACGGCACCGTGCAATCCACCTCCCCCAGTGCCGCCGCCATCGCCAGCCGTATTCCAACTGCTCTGCGTGAAGCCACTGCTGCCACCGCACCACGCACCAACTGGACCCGTGAAGAGATTCAACAGATCTATGAGACGCCCTTGAACCAGCTCACCTATGCCGCTGTACGCTCCCCCCAAGCCCACTAATCCTCACCCACCCCCCCCACCTAAGTAGAAACCTCACTAACAATGCCCCAATGAATATAGGCAGCCGTCCACCGCCGCTTCCACGACCCCAGCGCCATCCAAATGTGCACTCTAATGAACATCAAAACCGGCGGCTGCAGCGAAGACTGCTCCTACTGCGCACAATCCTCGCGGTACCAAACCGGTCTAAAAGCCACCAAGATGTCCCCCGTCGACGAAGTCCTCACAGCCGCCCGCACCGCCAAAGCCAACGGCAGCACACGGTTCTGCATGGGCGCCGCCTGGCGCGACATGCGCGGCCGCAAGACCAGTCTGAAGAACATCAAAGCCATGGTGTCCGGGGTGCGGGGCATGGGGATGGAAGTGTGCGTGACGCTGGGAATGATTGACGAAGCGCAGGCCAAGGAACTGAAAGATGCTGGGTTGACGGCGTACAACCATAACCTGGATACGTCGAGGGAGTTTTACCCCGAGATTATTACGACGAGGTCGTATGATGAGCGGTTGAAGACGTTGGCGAATGTGCGGGATGCGGGGATTAATGTTTGCTCTGGGGGTATTTTGGGTCTGGGTGAGAAGGATGAGGATCGCGTGGGGTTGATTTATACCATGTCTGGGTTGGAGAAGCATCCCGAGAGTTTCCCGGTTAATGCTCTGGTGCCGATTCCGGGGACTCCCCTGGGAGAGAGGAAGATGATTTCGTTTGATAAGATTCTGAGGACGGTGGCCACTGCCAGAGTGGTCATGCCGGCTACTATTGTTAGACTTGCGGCGGGGAGAATTTCTCTCAGTGAGGAGCAGCAGGTTGCTTGCTTTATGGCGGGTGCTAATGCTGTGTTTACGGGTGAGAAGATGCTTACGACGGATTGTAATGGGTGGGATGAAGATAGGGCGATGTTTGAGAAGTGGGGATTTTACCCTATGAAGAGCTTTGAGGGTGAGCATGTTAAGGAGGAGGCGAAGGTGCAGGAGATCGAGGGGACTGCGCAGGCCGCGGTTAGTGCTTAAATAGTTGGATGAATTAAATGGTTATGTTGGTTTAACACTGTATATGGAAGCATCATGAATAGTATACACACCAAATCAGCAGTCTGTTCATAGAGTCCCTCCCACCTTGGCTTCTCCCATTTCAACACCCCCATTAACAGCCGCGGCAAGTATGCGACGCCATAACATCAAGGATATCCATCTCATGTCACCACAACAATTCAACTCATGAATGGCATATTGGCCATTGATTGGATAGACTCAAACCGGTCAAGCATCCGTAACCGGAAGTTAACAACACAATAGCACGTCCCCAGAAATAGCCATTTCTACCCTCTACTCCACCCAGCAACAGCCACTGAAGACTCAAAGAGGAAGGAAGAGAGTGCCATCAAGAACCCCATACCTGCCTCCTCACCCACACGCCCTACAACTGTCAATCCCTCCGTAATTGATTCCACCATACCACACACAGATATCTTAAAATTCTCTAGACCTACCGGACTGTAGAAGAAGCACTGTCTAGGTGTATTCAATCACAGAATAGATAATATTACCCCCCATAGAAAAATCCTTGTCTCAGGGTTTGTTTCTAGGAATATATAAAACACCCCGCCGTGATCAGGGTTTCCGGTCTGTGTCCACCACCGTGACCACATTGGTATAACAAGCGAAGATGCATCAACCCATATGCAGGGTTCTCGTCGAAGAAGACATGTATCGGATAGCCATTTGCTCTTGGGTCGATATGATAAGTACACCCTCTCCTCTCTCTGAGACCGGGAGATCATGCATGGCCATATCTGCTTTCATATGTTCTTCTCCTAGTTTTTTCAATGCTTATGAGAGAAAATATATTAGCTGCACACTGAAAGGTTCTTTGAACAACCTGACCAAAACAACTGAATTTGGCAAGATATTCGTTGTTCGTATTATCGATTGCTGGCCCAGTGAAGGGACAGAGTACCTGTTTGATAGCCATCTCTGCCTTGTACTTTATCTTTTAACCAGGGGCTCAAGCACCCGGTACTTCCTGACTTGCACTCCTTAGAACACCGCTCTTGTACCATTTTGCCACGACCGAGAAAGTTTGCCTCGACTCCAAGGTGTAAGAATTGGTCAACACAATTATTTATCAATAATCGAAATCAGCTCGGAATATTTCTCTCTTCTTGTGTACGGTTTTCTCTGAAGCAAACTAGCATCTTCAACCTGTTGATCTTTGTGGAGTCTGAACTCTACCGTAGTAGAAATACCGGTATAGTCAGAAGACAATGACATGTTGCATCAAAGGTTCCGTCTGGCATTCCTGTCTTTCTGATCTTGGCTAGAGACTGACGCCGAATATGCCAGTGCTCTATATAGTAACCCTATAGGAGTTGGTTGTATTTGGTGAGATGCACAGCGGGATGGTACTCGGTCTAGTAGAAACAAGATAGAGCGAGAGACGAAGGCCAGTTGTATATGATGACATATTCGATGTTCCTGAAGATATCCCTTTGCGGAATAGAAGTCTCAGAAAAACTTGGGTCTTGTGTTGTCTTCATATTTGGACATATTGTCTTGCTCGTAGATGTGGAATGGTTGGAGGGTGTATATAATTGTGCTCCGCAGATCAGGGAGCTGTTTGATTGACTGCGATTTAGTTTGGTTATTTAGGTCAGGGCGAGGAGAATCACGTCTCGGGATGTAATCTTCATTGTATGTAATGCAAGATTTTATCTGTCTGCCAATAACATAGGACATCGGAGATTTGTAAAAGGTGAAGCCCATCTTGCATAGAGACCGTCGTTCCTGAGCACATCCGCAGATATAAAGATAGTCAAACACAGACAGCTTGTATAGACTATCCATATTCTGTGTTTTGAGACCTTTGGTATTTTGTACGCCTCATCGTGCCGTTCTTCTTCGATTACGCACCAGCAAGCCAGCAGTATATGCGATGTAGTATTGCCGGAGACATGTATATTGTCTGAAGCTATGCCAAAGTCTGCTGTCGGTTTCCCCCTCTGATTCTTCAATTGGCATCTCCTTGCCGCGGCTGGCGTTCAAGAAAGATAGAAATGCGTTATTGACGGCTGTAATATATACAACAGCTATGACTTTGACTTAAAACGGTTCTGAGCATAGCTTTCTTCACGAGGCAGATAGCCCCGCGATGGTCCAATTTCTGCCAAAACGGGATGTGTCTCTGGAAAATCCCTTGTTCGGAATGTGTTGTTCATAGTAGGTATACGCCACGGTATGACATAATTTATTTCGTCCTTGTGTTTTGGCGGCCAGGATCCTAAGACAAGAGCCATAGACTTGGCGAGATTCTCGGACGTGTCGCCATATCGATCTAGGATGTAGAGAACAGTCTGATCCTTGGCTCGCTGGTTCTCGGATACGGTCATCCAGATAACCAGAAGCTTTATGATCAGAGTTATGGGTGTATACTATAAGAGAAATAAATGTATGTTCTCGCTTGGTGTAATGTGGCAAACGAACGAGTCGCTCTTCATAGCCAATGTGATAACAGCCGAATAGCTGTTGCGAATCACTTCGAGGGCTTTTCCTGAACTCTTCCAGGGCTTTCCTTTGTTAAACACACGAATCAACGAAGTTCAAATCCATAAGGAATGAACTTCCTATGGACAACCAGGCTGTCTTTGAAGCTTCCTGTATCGTTTAGAGGCCTTGAATAAATGCCAAAATGGTCCCTTATCTTCCGCTCCATTGGGTACCAAGCGTCAATACCTTCCGGTAGTGCAGATATGCGAACTCATCTGGTCTGTATCTGTAGTAGCGACGAATACAGTCTCTCAAATTCCATTTTGTAAGATTTGCAGTTCTGTCTTGATAGATGTACCTGTAAGCCGCGGCGGAACCTAGTTCCTTTGATGATGCATCGCTTGGATCGCTGAACCGGTTCCACTCTTGCACCAGTTGGAGAAGGGACTGGCGTCGACAACTATGTAATTCGCGCCACGGTGTATACCGTAGAGCATATCACCGTGGAAGGAGTCCCAAGTCTTCTCAGATCTTGGGTTACTTCTCAAAGAGTATATAAGTGGAGTTGGGGATGGCCGAATATCCTCAAGATTGAATGAACTATCTGTCCAAGCATTCAAATGCCGGATAGCATGAAATCGAGACCATGATCAACTACCTCCTCGTAATTCCGCCGCTCTGCCTCTCTGCGGGCGAAGGTTCTTCGATGGAGCCATACCCACAAAGCCCACATAGCCAGGAAGACGAATGAACAATCCCATAGAGTTTGATATGTAGTGTGGGACAGCGACCCGACCGGCCAGATAACTTGCTATCTTTACAGACAGTATATAATCTCGCCACTTAGCTATCCAGGTCCGGCAAGATTGCTGGCGAGAAGAATAAATTGTGTAGACATTTGTGCTTTGCTTTAATCAATTCCTTAGTGTGCCCGCTTCCAAGCTTCTGGTGTATATAAGCAGATGAACTGTCTGCGTAAGACTTTGTACCTTGAACACAGATGCCAAGTTCGTCAATGCTTGAGATGCTCTTCTTTCTTTCTCCAAGTAGATATCCCCTCCTTCGGGCTCTCTTAGTTCTGCCATTATCTTCGAAGCCAAGACATCATCCGAAGAGTCTTATTTGCGATGTATACGCCTCCTCTTCTTGTGTCAACGTAGACACGGCAGATGGAAAGCCTAAGTTCTGTATTTGGCCATTGTGCAGCTTTTATAAAGCCATAATGCCGGCCATTTCTGCATACCCGTGGTCAACATGCCCATCCATTCGCAGGAATTCGGACGACTCTCCGAAACACTCTTGGTTCTCGACTTCGAACGCTTTCCAGGCTGCCACACATTCCATGTATCGAAATAGCAACAGCCTGCCACATTTACAATTCAAGAAGGACAGGACACAGTACTCGCTGCCAATCCAGACATGGCACAGTGATATGACAACAGTTGCTTCTTTCTGATACATTTTGAGGCATATTCGTATTGCGGAAACCCATACCATGTCTCAAGTACTATCAGGTTGCTGGAGCATGGCTCATGTTTGGTTGAGCGGGTGCATGAAGGGAATTGCAATGCGCCAATATAGTGTGCACTTAGCAACAGAGAGTATAAGTCTGTGCCTCAGGGTTGTGTCCTCACCGTTCCCAGGCCAGTAACCCAGAGGACCTTTTCCTCGTTCGTGGCTCTTCAGGTTTTGAGTCTTCCGAATGGTTGTACACCCGAGGAAGTACCCCTTTTATCTCCATATTCCGAGAGGGGTTCGATATAGGGAACTCGGTATCGAGAAGATTTGAGTGATTCCAACGCCGGGCCTATTTGTCGTACCGCAGCGATATGTAAGGGGACCTATCAATGAAAAAATTGTGGGAGTTAAAGATATGTCATGATCATCTTTGAGATCATGGAGCGTATGATTGCTTCAGACACTTATAAAGCCCTTGTGCAGCTGTTTCCAACCCCATAAGGTAGTATTAGGGTTAAGGATAGATAACCCCCTAGACTTGACTGATTGAAGAAGAGAAACTCGTGGAGAGCTGGGTAGTATTTCAGCCTATCATGTTGATGACGATAGTGGTCTTGCTGAGATTATGACAATCCAGGTTCTCTGTGTCCGATGTTATATTGTGTTGATTAGATGGTTTTCTGGGATTTTCGTTCCCATTGCTCTGGCTATAAGTTAATAACTTATTGTACTACTCATTCATAACAACTCTTACCTTTGGGAGTATAGATGTCGTTATGTGACCGGCTATGGTAGGTGAAGTGCTTACCACCCGATGTCTGCTGGCAATTCCTCGAAGATTTTGTTCTGCTGCCTCACCAATGCCCGATTATATATATTTGTCGCCAGCCGGACATACTAGGGCTAAGTTCATCTTCAATAGGCATGTATGATTCCGCCAAGTGGGAGTATGACAGCCTGTTGTTAAGAGAGATTGTTGAGAGTCAGAACGCGTATTCAGAGAGAGTCGATATGATGTAGTATGGGACAGGGTAATTGGTCGATTCAATCAGAGTGTCCCATGCAGCGCACGCGACCACTAAGCCGTTCGGGCGCTTGGGATTAATATATATAGTTTAGCCATATATCACTGCGCAAGGGCATCAAATTGGGTAGTAGTATATATTCCTGGACTGAGCATAGCAGATGATAAGGAAGAAGAGGAGAGGAGAAGACATAGACGGAAGCAGATTATATAGCAGACAGGCCAGAGATGCTATTCATCGCTCATCTACCAAATAGTGAAGCCTGACATCGCATTCATCCTCCCCAGTCAATATCCTAGCCAAGTGGCAAGCAAGAGTAGGGAATGCTGTAATAATCACAAGCCATGCTTAATTCAATCTACTATTCCCACATGCAACAACATCATGTTGATGAATATGCTGCATGATGCAGGTATGCTGTGACGTTGAGGGGGATCGGCAAATCCATCGTATGACGATTCCCGATCATGCCATAATCAGGATACTCTCCACTCCCCATACCCGAAAATAAGGTGATCGTCGGGAACTCCCCCATCTTATAAATAAACCTTGGTCTAGCCGTCACTTGAATCCTCCAGTATCCGCTTCGCACTTATCAAGACAAATCAACCATATTGAACATCAAATCATCACTACAACATTACCAACCATGAACGTCTCGGCTTCTCCCTCTGGCTCGCAGCCTTTCATCAAGAGATCTACTCTAAGTCCCGCATTCAAGAAGCCTAGCAGATGGTGAGTGTGCCTTCAGTCCCCAGATGACGTATTCAATCATAGCTAATGAATACAGGTATCTCCCGCTCATGGGTGCCATAGCTCTCGGTACTTTCCACCCTTCAATACATAAATCTATTTCACCATCTAACTATTAACTATAGGCTTCGGAGTCGCCAACTACTACGAAAACCAAGCCCGCCAGCCCCAGTTCGACCGTGAAGAAGAGGAACGTCTTCGAAAGAACCGGGCCCTGATGGATGCCTACGGCGACAAGGAAACAGTCCAGGATATCGAACGGGCGCTGGTAGTCTATGACCTTCAGTAATCATCCTTGATGGAGGAAACAATCATTGCATTACAATCGGGCACACTTAGCGTGGAATATGGTTACGGCTTTCATGAATGATGGCGCATATGGAGTTTGGGTTTCCTTTTACTCTCCGGAAGAGATGAGGCATGGATTTGTGGTTTCGGGATTATGAATTTGACCGGGCATTAACTTGCTGGTTTAGTTACCGCGGATTAGCATTGAATTGAGAAGCAAGCTGGTTATTGCACTTATACAAATCATCTTGTTCTGTAATTGTGTGGATTAACCGACCGAGTCGTGAACCTGTAGACGTGCTGTTTTCGCTCAGGAGACTCAATTTTGAGACCACCAATCTATCATTACCCCATACCCGCCACCGGAAGCGGGGAGAGACCTTCTGCAGCTCAACAGCCAATCACATACTCACACATCCAATCCCGCACTGCATGATGCTGATCACGAGACTCGGATCCTTTCGCAAAGAAGTTAGACTACTCCGTACCCCTCAAACAATCAACACAGCCCCTTTCGTAGCTGCATCTTCGAGCTGTGAAGGTTACGTGTCGTTGCTGCAATTCAATGCTACATAGGCATCTATCAATTAAGTCTGCTGCCTGCACCTGCACTGAGGATGGTATATTTATGACCCATCACGTAGTTGTTTCACCGTAGAGTGCTATCCATATTACGGATAGATTATTCGGCATATCGTACAGCGGCTGAAAGATCTCCCGCACATTGCACTTAAAGGGAGCTAATGTAGATCACTTCGGCAGTTAGCCCGGGACGTCTAATGCCAGTGATTATACAGAAGCTCAAAACTAGAAGGTTGAAGCTGTCTGGAACACCCTAACCTTGAGAACCATACCGACTCCTATACCTTGCTCCTCAAGGCGTACAAATTATGAACGACAAACAACACCCTATTCATCAAAAATCCCACGCCAAAACCTCTCATTCATATCATCTAGCTTCTTCTGCCCATGCCTTTACATTCTTCTTCTCCTTCTATAAACCAATTTGACCGCCATTTTCCATGACACTTCATGCGACTCAGCAGGCCCGAAGAACCGCTCGTCAATCTCCTGCCAGAAGATCGCATCAAAAGCAAAGTTCTTCGCGTTGAATAACTGACCCAGAAATTAATACTTTTTCAACTCCCTTGCATAGGCCCTGAGAGCCCTTGTCCCTCTTTTCAGCATCCAGAGTTTATGAAGGCCTTTTAGCGATCAACCAACACTTTCATACAAGTTTGCAACCTATGCTCGAATAACCCCCGTCCAAGATTTCATACCGTCTGGCCAATACTCTGGTTGTTCGAGAAGTAGCCACCATGGCGACGCAGCCGAGTACTCTGCCGGTGCTGCGTAGGAGAATTCCCAGTCTGTTACGCCCACGGTTTGCATGTTTGCGCTGAGGAGCACATGGGAAGGCATGAGATCGTCGCATCGTAGCCGGAATGACCCTGAAACACGACCACGAGTAGATGAAGTTAGTCGACGATCTTGCTAATTTGCAAAATAGCTGCCTGACAACATATCTACGCCGTCAATCAGTAGCAGATTATACCACATCATTGCGCTGGTGATTCGCTTGCTCGATATGAAGTGTAAGTCCAAACTTTGGGTAGAGAACGCTCGAGGGGAGGGGGCTTCCGCAAGCCCTGTGTATCACAACACCAACGAGAAGTCAATATGGCAAATGCTACTTCGTACTCCATGAATATAGCCCCATTCAACCAATCTGTCGACTTATTGGGGCGAGGTAGGATATATTTCAGCCACAGAGCGTCAGAACTACCAATTGACAGGCTTTCCCACACCGGTACACCCTGTAGATCCTACGGTGATAGCCACATGCCCGGGGCTTATTGCTATGAGCATTGGCGCTTGAGTATACTGGGTTCCTGGGAGTTACAAGATAGGATGCTGTGATCACAAATGGAGGTGATGGTGCAATGGTAGGAGGGCGCCAGTGGTGGCATTCAATTAAGGACTAACTTTGGGGGAGGGGGGTTTCCCTAAGTTTAAACTGCCAGATTTATATGAATATGATTTTATCTACGAAAAGGTCCTTTTTGCTACTCAATCTAGGATCTGTATTCTGAATGATTAGATATTTATAATCAGGGAGTTGGTCTTTGCGTCATTAATATTCATTTTTATAAAATCTGTTACTATTTTCTTTTGTCTAGGAAATTCATTGGGTTCGTAGACTACTATTCTGTAGGTTAGAAGCCGGCAAGTTACTTTTCTATCCTTTTTAAGCTTAATTTAACTTCGTAGCTTTCTGAATATGTAAAACCTTATACTTCAGGCATGTCCTGCAAACTTCTATGGTGAGTTTCCAGAGAAGTCTTTAATTATTAAGTTGTATGATATACTCAATACAAGGATCACAGGGTAGCCCCGTCCTTCTTCGACACCCAATTTGAAGAGTATCTCTACTAGTGCTATTACTGCCATAAGTTCAACGATATAACCCGATGATAACTCATTCCCCTTCTAACTCAATACCCTAGGCGGCTGTCATCTAGTACATGCCTGGGTAGGAAACTTCAATGATAGATACTATAAGGACCAGGAAATGAGAGAAATGTCCCTCAAAATTAGCTCCGATGAATCACGTAGCCTTCCAACTCAGTCTGATTTCGGGCTCTATTCAGCAATGACTACGGATTCATCTGGGCGATTGCCATCGTATAGTTGCTCTATACTGATGTCCGTAGGAGCATTTCTTTGCTCAACACAGCACGTAGATATCTTCCACCGTGAGGCATACTGACAGACAAACCATACTCATCGGCACCATCCTAACAGCACTTGATATGGGTAAAAAAGCCTTCAAACAGCTCTTCCATCTCCAAGATAAATAACCATCTTCATCCTCCTCGACAAGAGATCCTTGCCAGAGATACCAGATCAATCTTCCTCGATCTCATCTGCTATCCTCAGATTTATCTCCGCATTCTCCTGATACCAAAGGTCACACAGGAATCTCTCAGGCTCACTCACCATTGTTTTAGTGATCCAACAACGAGACTCAATCACCATTATGTCTTCAGGCGACAAGAAAGCAGGTCGTGACGAAGCTGCATTCCGACTTGACCTCAGTGCTTCCCAGGCTGAATTTATGATGAACAAGGGTAATTCGTCCGGCAAAAAACCGGGGTGTCTTACGAACCCAGCTCCATGAGAATTCCAAATCCGCGTGAAGAGGAGCAGATGACACAGTCGACCACCACGGCAAATGAGAGACGGAAACATGTTACTGAGAAGATTGCTGACCATTACAGAGAGAGCAGGGGTTGATGCAGATGTCAGTGTCGTTGCTTGTTGAGACATACAGGCTACTACTGAATGACCATCTATAAGCGCCGTGGGAAAGGAGTTCACACAAAGAATGTTATTTGCTTTTATATAACTGCCAATGCACGAGTTATGATTTCAGTTTTGTGACTTAGGATGAGAAGCCTCTAAGCGTCGGTACAAGTAGATGCAGTGGGATATTTCCTGGATAAAGATAAAGCTGTCAGGGCTGGCGTATAAAAATGTCGTATTTGGGTAATACCTGTAACGCTCAACAATGCAATACTGGGGGAGTCTAGGATAGGTGACACCTAAATGCTTTAAAATTGTATGCTATGAGGTGTAATATGGTGGTTGTCCATAAATCAGTCGTATGTCAATTGATAGGAAGGCATACGTCCTCACACAGGACACGACGCTCTAGTATAAGGTCATTCGTAGTGAGTAAAGTCCTAAACTTTGATCTGATGTTGGGTTACTCATTATCCTTACGCAATCGTACATAGTTACCGACTCGCACACTGATACTCTGTGATACTAAAGTCCGATTCAGAGATCGAGGGGTTTCCGTCCAGTCCTACAAAGCCCCTTGTGGTTGTGTGCCTTTTTGAAATATATCCAAGTCCGATTACCACGTCGTATATCCCAGTCTATGGTTGACATCTGCAATTGCACAATACTCGTCTTCCAGGCGTCTCGGCGAATCATAAGTGGTGTGTGCGAATCACGAGATTGCTGAAGAACCCGACGAATATGTTCTAGCAATAAGCTTGATATCGATTAATTACCCTTTAATACCGAATGGCCCCTATATTTACGCCGACTTAGCACTCGGGAAATTCGGGCATTCGGACATCACGGGATTTTCGGTCGTAACGGCCGTAACGGCCCTATCGGTCATATACCGGACTACCTTGCTGTAGGGACAGCTTGAAGATAATGCTCTTTCATCGTATATATATGAAGCCAGTGCCTCTTCTTCGACATGAGTATCCCTTCTCATTCTTCATATTTATCATCCATCGCAAAATCAGCGTGGAACAAGACAAACAATGACCGGTCTCAAAATACTCATCTCCGGCGCAGGCATCGCCGGGAACGCCCTCGCCTTCTGGCTATCCAAACTAGGCCACAACATCACAGTCATCGAGCGATACCCTGGTCTACGAGCCACAGGACTTCAAGTCGATCTCCGCAGTCCTGGTATTGAAGTCCTACAACGGATGGGTCTCGAGAAAGCCTTTCGCAAGGTCACCGTCCCAGAACAAGGTCTACGGCTTGTTGATAGTCGCGACAGGCGATGGGGATATTTCCCTGCGAATCGAAGTGGAAAGGGATTGCAGAGCTTTACTACCGATTATGAGATTATGAGGGGGGATCTTTGCAATATGCTTCATGATGCTGTTAAGGATCGCGTGGAGTATTTGTTTGGTGTGTATGTGGTGGAGATGCACCAAACTGATGAGTTTGTTGACGTGATCTTGTCGAATGGGAGGAAAGAGCGATTTGATCTCGTTGTTGGTGCGGATGGTCTGGGGTCTCGTACAAGGTCGATGATGCTTGAAGGTGAAGATCAGGTTCACTCGATTGGTGTGTGTGCTGGGTATTTCACCATTGAGAGTGAGCTGAAGAAGGGAGAGGGATACGACGCCACTGTGTATATGACGACCCAGGGACGTGGGATTATGATGCGTCGTCATGATCCGCACAAGATACAGGCGTATATGTTCTGCAAGGCGGGGCCTTTTGAGGATTGCACCAAGGGTGATGTCGAGAGGGAGAAGCAGGTTATGGGACAGGTATTTCAAGATGCAGGGTGGAAGTCGGAGGAGATTATCCAGGGTATGGAAGAAGCGGATGATTTCTATTGTGAGCGCATGGGAGTGGTGAATCTGGATAGCTGGTCGCGGGGCCGTGTCGTCTTGGTCGGGGATGCGGCTTATTGTCCGTCTGCTATGACAGGAATGGGGACGCCGTGTGCCATGGTTGGTGCTTACATTCTGGCAGGGGAGATAAGCAAACGTTGTGCGAAGGGCACTGGTTCCAAGGAGGATATCGCAAAGCCTTTGAAGAGTTATGAGAATAAGCTCAAGCCCTTCATGGTGAATGTGCAAAAGGGACTATTGGACGATCACGATTACATGAGCAGGCTTCCTTCATCTACGTTGGGGATCACTGTGGTCTACCTCCTGTTTGCAATAGCATCCTTCTTGAGACTGGACGTCCTCGCGCAATGGATTCTGCGTGAAGATTGCAACAAGGACTGGAAACTGCCGGAGTATCCGAGCATGGTCGACAACTGAAAAGCGTCGGAAGCTCTGGCGTTTTTGTGGAATTATATAGAATTTGTTTTGTTGCTGTGCGTGTCTCGCTTGTACAATGGGCTCCATGGGGATAAATTAATTATCACATCCAATATAGTATCTTCTCTCCCAGGAATTTGCCACTCTAAATTCACCACCCCGAGAACAGTTGCAGGTCGGGAAAGTCCAAGTTGAAGTCGCTGTCGTGGATGTAATCGAAGCCGCGGTCTAAGACTTCCCCGAAGTTATCCAAGCTATTGAGACTATCTCCAAGGGATGCAGTACTAGGTCCAGCGGAGATAGATGCCCTGGCTACCATGTCCTGCATCATATTGTAGCAGACATCCACGCTTTCATGCAGTGTTCTTGAAACTGCCTCTTCCTCGGACTGACCATTAAGCCTAGCTTCCGCCTGGGCTAACATCATATTATAAAAGACATAGACCTTAACATTAGTCTCTCCGTAATGTAGTCTTTCTTTTGCATACTGGACCACGCAGCGGGCATCTCGCAAAAGAGTTTCCTGACGAGCATAATCCCTTCTTTTCGCTAGACTTGAACTTTCCGCTTCTGGATCGGGACTGGATTCCGAGAAGATGAGTATTGCCGCACGGGTCACGATGTCACGAAACATGCCACCTCCACAGCGGAGGACACGACCGTACAGATTGTCTTCGACTAGTGCTATGATATCTAGTGCGGCTTCGACACCGGCCTTACGAGAGTGACTGAATAGGAGATTGGCCCTTGCCATGATGGCAAACTTGTAGTGGAGACACAAGGTAAAGCGTCGAATTAGATGGGTGCAGAAGCTGGATGCGAACTGATCTAACGAGGATGCAGAGTTAATCTGGTCAAGCGTGACAGAGATGTCGCGGCATGCTGAGGCTAGTTCTTTACCGATCTCAAGGACCTCATCGTAGGGCGGTTCCTCTCGCAAGTCGTTTATGAGTCTGGAGGCATGCAGACGGACTGGTATTGACTTTGACAGTATTTGTTGAAGATTAGGTGGCTTATTAGCCGCTGACTCTTCCTCTTCGCCTATCTCTGGCTCGGTTTCGAGGCTGTGATCGCTTGGCGGTTCAGTATTCCAGTCCCCAGTTGCGATCATTGGTACCATCCCAGAATCCAAGGAGGACTGTAGGTTCAATTCTAGAATAGTGTACCAGAGTTGTCGCCTTAGGTCTTTTTCTGTGGACTCCATCTCGCTCAGACAGTTGGGATCTTGATGCAGACCCATCTGCATGGCCATCCTCATCAATGAGCCTGTGGAGATCCAGATCAAATCGGCGCCAACCTGATTTACTTGGCGGGCTATGAGAAGAAGACAGTGGAGTTGGATGGCTCCCAAAGTTAAGCGGTTCTTTTCCAGTGGTGCTGAGAGCCATGTCTGGGCTGTATGAATCCACATTCCAGCTTTTGACGCCACATCTATACGGATATTGTTATCCTGATGTAAGGGGCCTGCAATAGCGACCACAAGAAAGATTTGCAGGACTATACAAGTATCCGTGTCTTCGTAGTTGTTCAAGTATGTATGACAATGCTTCATGAAGGAGGTCTTCCGAAGTATCCGGTAGCACGACTCGAATGAGGCGAAATAGAGTTGAGTCAGTTCAAGGACGATATCGGAACCAGGAAGTGACTGATGGATCTGTGTCGGGAGGCTACTACGACTAGGTCGCTGACTTTTGATGCTTCGAGCTAGCCTTTTGCATTGAACAATCTTATCAGCAATAGCATCATAGGGGCCGTGGCTTGTATTCCGTATGATGGTGTCGTATAGGCCCATGAGAGGCTGCAAGCTGGGCAGCCCTTCTGTCTGTAACGTCGTCAATACATGCATAGTTTCGATATGTGAGTTGACTTGCCAACGAAAAAATATTCATCCAATGTCCCTGCCCGAACACTCTTGTCTTTGACACCATGCCCCGGATCTGGCCAGGGGTTGATGCAGCCTGTTGCGATGAAGCGTGAGGCGTGTGTGAGGGTTGACCACTATTACTCTCCTGAAGAACATTTTGCCTCTGATGATTTACTTCGTTGGTAGTAGAGAGCACCGTTTCGTGACCGACACGCGCATTGCGATTCTGCTCATATGTACAGGTTGAAGCAATATTCTGGGTCACACACTGTCGACACGGGTTGGCCCGGTCGCATCGGACTTTGCGACGGCGGCACGAAACACATGAATACGCCGGGCGTCTGCGCTTTCTTGTGTTGGATACGCCCGGGCTAGTCATTGTACGAGTATTCTGGACGAAGATTGTTTTAGGTCGGCTGTTTACTCTGCAGTGCGACATAAACTGCAGGATAGACCAGGGAGGTTGGTCTGGAAAAGGGTTGGGGGTCGGCCGTAAGCCATCTTGGCCCGATACGACCGATAAGGCCGAAGCCGCGTCCGCCTCAGGCATCAAGGCTTACCAAAATAGAAACTGACATTTTCCAGACGAGTATAATTAGTTATAACGCCAGATGTACGCATCACATAAAATACTACACTGTAACTTGGCTGTAGGCAACTTCTCATTTCATTGGAATAGAAGGGCGTGTGGTTAAATGCCACGAATGTCTTGGGTATGGAAATTGCATGAGACTCGACGCACTAAGCTGGGTACCTTTTCACCAGAGAATGTCTCAAAAGTCCCAGTCTAGTTCAGTCGCTGCATCCGCTCCTCTCCACAACAACCTCATCAAAGTACACCTGCCAAGTATACGAATTGTCAGGCGACGTGCACGCCGCACTGATTGTCAGAACATCTGCGGACCGATTGGCCGTGAACTCCCCGGTTACAGCGGTCCACTGATCACTAGGTTCGAGATCGGCGGTAGCAATAGTATCACTAGTTGTGTTCATCCCCAGGTAGGCAGCGATATGGCAGAACTCTGCCCCGGACACGGAGGGCTTGACTTGGACGGAGAAGTCGTAGGTCGTGCTGCGGTTGAGACTAGACAGGGTCTGGGAGAAGGAATTGGGGCTGTTGTCGATGGCAGTTGTGAGGTCGCTGTTATATACATTAGAGACTGAGATAGATGCTGATGTTAGAAGACATACAGTGAGTAAGTGCCAGTGTAGGCGGGGGTGGTGGTTGTGACTCGGGCTACATCTGAGGCTGTGGTGAACCATGGCGAAAGAGAGTCTGTCTCGAAGGAGGGGTTGGAGAGGATATTACAGCCAGAGGTGGACATTATGGCGCACAATGGCTAAAATAAATCTGAATTATTTATCAAGACTAGCTTAGGAGTGTAGCAAGAAGGCAAAGGAGCCATTACAATCCCGGAGTCTCCTTTTGTTCTCATCTAAATTATAGGGCCCCCTCATCTGTATCATCGGATCGGATAGCATTCCGGCTTCGTAGTCAAATTGATGTCATGTTGTATTTCCATTAGTTATCGGCAGCCGTGATGATTATCGAAACCATCTCTGTTGCTTCTGGAAAAGATATATAGACATTGTATGAGACAGTATCTAACTTAGGATTGCAGAAGAAAGTGTGGAGAAATTTCTGCGGGCAGATCTTTCTATAGTGAGCTGCCTAAGCTTCGTCGACTGGCAGTGGTCAGAAATAAATTAATAGCCATCCAAAGATGCCAATTCCTTCTATGGGACCAGTCAAGGGTGGTGGTCCCCATTTAAAGCAAATCCAATGTGGTGGCACACGTCATTGTCTTTTTGTCAAGTTATGTTTCGCAAGGTCACTGCACAATAGGGCAGAGTCCATGACCCACTAAAGTCCTTGCCAAGTTTTGGGGGGTAGCCCTAAGGGTCAATTGTCTACCAGATACACTTAATCAGAGATCTCCGGTTGCTGCCTAGCGGCGAAGCTCCTTGAATTTACTGATATCCCGTCCTTGATATGATAGGGACGGTGGGTAAGGGAAAGGCCAAGCTTCATAGCGCAGGCTTGATTTGAACAAGATAAATTGCCTACGCTTAATGAGGTTTAATCTCCGCAAGTTAATGCCGGTTCAGGTGGACACGACGCGTTGGTCCGTGGGGCGGGTTCGTTGAGAATCGGCGAGGATCCATATCGTCGATCCTCGGGTGGGGAATGTCCAAATATCCCCGACCTGTTCTTGACCGGCAATTATCTACCCTTGCAAGTAAGGGACATGAATTATGCCCTAAGAATAGGCTGCCAAGACGACATTTTATGGTCAAGTCTTCAGAAACTTGTCACATCAGGTTTCCTCTAGCGATCTCTGTAAGATGGCGTGAGTACTGAAAGGTACTTAAATAGAGCTGTGACAGGCTCGTCTCGAGGTGGGTGCTAAGCTTCGGATCTTCAGGGGAAATGACGGATTTGACGAAACGCCACACGCGTCATTGCAAGAAGATCAGACAGCTTTCTATGTATGAGGCTTCAAAATGCCTCCCGGAGCAAGACAGACCCGACGGGCTCCCGAGATGACTTGACGAAGTCCGGAAACGAAGTCAGCTATAAATGCGCTTCCCATCACCATGGATGACAGGATAGACATAGCCTCTGCTGATCATCCATCTTCTCCAACATGGGTCTCTCACTAGCCCTTGCGACATGGGCATCACTTCTAGCCGTTGCCAGTGCGCAATTTAAATGCAGCTTGCCTGCAGGTGATATTTGCGCCTACGAGAACGCCACCACCTACGCGGCAGTCAATGCGCCCAATTGCACCACCAGTGGCTTGCAGGCCTTCGTAAACAAGCTTCCAGGGCTCAATGGAACCACATTGAGTGTTCCGTACGCTTTTTACATTGACAGCAATGAAACTCTGGATGAGTTCACCGACTATGTTGGCGCTTCGACGTTTACCACCGATATCCCAACTGTATGTGCGTTCCGAGTCAACGGAACAAATGAACAGGGCGCGACTTGGGGCTTGGGAGCACTTCTTCCTACCCACTTCAACGGCAGTATCATGTATGTATAAAGGCTATGCACCCCCAACTTGACTCCTCACTTACGACCTCTAGGATGGCAGCCCCCGACTCTGGGCTCTCATGGGGCGTAGCAAGTGCAGGCCTGCGCTACGCCTTTGCCACATTTGCCTCTAACTCCGGTCACGACGAGCCGGACCACGTTTCAGGCTGGGAGACTCCCAATGGCCTCATCGACTGGAGTCACAGAGCACTGCACCTATCTACCCTTACCGCCAAGGCCATCGTCAAAGCCTGGTACGACGTGGAACCCAAATACAGCTACATCACCGGATGCTCCGACGGAGGCCGACAAGTCATGAAGTCCATTCAGACATACCCCGAAGACTACGATGGTGCTATGGCGGGTGCGCCAACCTGGTGGATGACACACCAAGCATTTTACAACTACAAGCAGACAACAATCGGCGGCGCACACCAATCAAACTCCTCAATCCCACCCTCATTATACCCAGTCATCACGGACGAGGTCCTCCGCCAATGCGATCCCCAAGACAACCTCACGGACTCCATCATATCGAACCCACAAGGCTGCTTCTTCAACCCCGAACCACTAGCCTGCAGCCGTAACAAAACATCCAGCTGCCTCACCGCACCACAACTTGATACCCTCCGCAAGATCTACAACGACTGGACCACCTTCGACCAAGACCTCATCTACCCCGGTGCATGGTTCAGCAGCGAACCCACCTGGAACACTACCTTCGGCAAACAGCACTCCAAATCATGGTACATCCAAAACGTCCTCGGCTTCAAGAACCTCACAGCCCAGGACCTAACATACGACCTCATCGCCGAGGCAGACGCGCGTAATCCCGCCCACGCAAACGCAGACGACTTCGACCTGTCTCCTTTCTTTAACCGAGGCGGGAAATTCTTCCACTGGCACGGCATGTCGGACTCGGTCGTCTCACCGGGTTCAAGTGTGTACTATCACCACAAAGCCACGTATGCTGCGTTGGAGAAGGGTTTCGACATCGACCAACATTATCAGCTTTACTTGATTCCGGGATTAGAGTGAGCCCCAATCCCTCATATCCCAATTCCAGTATCCCACGACAATCCCCAAAGATGACTAACAAAAGATAGACACTGCACCGGCACCCCCACCTGCATGTCCGCACTATGGTACCTAGCTGGCCCATACCAAGCTGGGAACTTCTTCAACTTCACCCCTGCCAACGTCGTCGATAACTACGTTCATGACTCTTTCCTCATGCTTATTAGTTGGGTAGAGGGTGGTCATGCCCCGTCGTATATGGTTACCACGAACTTTGAGGATAATGCGGATCCGACGACACTGCTTCATAATCGGAAGATTTGCCCGTAAGTTAACGTTAAATTCCCATTGACAGGAGGGTTTGCTAATTGGGGGATGTTGGTTAGGTACCCGAAACAGGCGAATTGGACGCAGACTGGTGTGTCGACGCATGAGGATTATTGGGATTGTGTTGATGTGTAAATAGGGGTAGATATATTATTTGTCATTATTGATCCGGTTTAGGACTTTGTGTGGTATCGGTATAGACGGGATGTTGCTGCTATAGACAGGAGACATTGATATAGATACTACTAGCCGTGGCAGAACAGATGGTGTCTGAGTCGATGAAAATGTACTACGTGTGGAATATGCAATATGTATAGTTTTTTTGCATTCAAACGAAGCAGTTGTATTTAGAAGGAAACGAACATTGTGAAAGGTGTTCCCAGTAAGAAGCATAATTGTTTGGGGAGGCAGAACACAGAAGAGAGAAATAACAACTGTACTACGTAGGGTTTGTAGAATCACAGATAGTACTGGAGGTATCCTTCTTAGATGGTCAGATGCCAAAAGAGGGGGTCTTAAGATTTTCTGCTTCAAAATAATCATGTTATCATATATTCGAACCGTAAGTGTGTAAGATTACAAGAAGTTGAAAGGCTAAGTGAACAAAGCAGGAAAGAAATAGGACAAAACACAAAGGAATATGGAAAGAAAACCCGAAACCAGACCAGTGAGAAAAGCAATATATATGAAATGGAAAGACCAATTATTTATATGTCCGGTACGCCGTACTCTGCGCTGCGCTTATGCAAATAACAGACAAGTTCCCACCCGTATCTCTTATCGTGATCCAATCCACTTCCACAGAACACTCAGTAGTTGATCTCGGTGAACCGGCTTGCCGATGCAATCGCTCATGCCCTTTGCAATGTAGCTCTCGGCGTCGCCCTGCATAGCATTACCGGTGACTGCGATAATCGGCATCTGGAGTCCCATATCGCGGATGTGCCCTGTCGCGACAAGGCCATTCATGATGGGCATGGAGACGTCCATCAATACGACGTTATATGATAGCGGCTTCTTCTTAATCTTAGAAAGTGCCTCGGCGCCGTTCCAAGCCCCGTCCACTCGCGTGAAGCCGATGCCGCGAAGGAGTTTCAGCATCATGGTATGGTTGATCATGTTGTCCTCAACCAATAAGACATGTTTGTGGGGCGCAATGGCCCGCATTTTATCGCAAAGATCTTGGCCTACGGGCGTTAATGCAGGACTGCGGGGCTTGAGTGACGGGGTACTTGATCGATCTCCCAGTTTGGCAGTAAACCAGAAGACACTCCCTTGGCCATCCGGGTTTGGAGAATATCCCACTTTTCCATCCATGAGTTCCGCCAGACTTTTGCAAATGGACAGACCCAAACCAGTCCCCTGGTATTGTCGAGTTGTCGAGTGGGCAAAGCGTGTGAACGGTGTGAATAGGGTATTCATTGCGTTGTCAGGAACACCGATGCCGGTGTCGACGACCTCTGTACGCACGATGCAACATCCCTCCTCTTGTTCATCCGGAGAGCACGCTGTGGAGACCCGGATATGGCCGCTCTCGGTAAACTTGACTGCATTGCCGACCAAGTTCTGCAGGATCTGGCGATATCGTAGGGGATCTCCTCGAAGATTTCGGGGAAAGTCAGGTGCAATGTCCGTGGTCATTTCGACACCGTTCTTCAAAGATGGGCGACAATTCCGTATAACGGCTCCGACCACATCGCTGACATCAACGACATCAGAGTGTAAGGAGAAAGAGCCAGATGAGAGTTTTGAGTAGTCAAGCACATCGTTCACAGTCTCAAGCAAGAGAGACATGCAGTCTTGGATTATGGCAGCATGCTCGAGCTGTGTCGGTGACAAACCCGTGTCAGCCAGCATTGTCATGGCAATTTTCATCCCGTTCATCGGAGTCCGGATTTCGTGGCTAATATTGGCGAGAAAGTCGGTCTTTAGGCGTGACGACTCTTCGAAAGCAGCAATTATGCGGGCCTCGGCTTCTTTTCGCTCACTAAGGTCCCGGGTGACTTTGACGAAACCAACGTGCTGGCCGAACTGGTAGATTGGGGTGATAAGCACATTGGCCCAGAATCGCGAGCCATCGCGCCGATACCTCCACCCCTCATCTTCCATGCGGCCTTCGCGCAAGCACACAGCAAGACCTCGGAGGGGCTTTCCTGCCAGGCGATCCTCTGGGCTGTAAAAGACAGAGAAATGTCTGCCAAGGATCTCCTCTGCTGGCCATCCCTTCATGATTGCAGCGCCGGGATTCCAGGTGGTGATATTGCCCTGAGTATCGAGCATGAAAATGGCGTACTCTTTAACGGTATCCACGAGGATTTTGTAAGTTTCGTTTGTATAGGCATGATTAACGCTGGCGGTCTCCTCGGAAAGCTTGTGCGCCTCCAATACAATGTACAGCAGAGTGAATGTATCAAAGATGGGAGTAACTCGGAGGTTGTATAAAGAATTGTCGCTGGACACGATTCTCTCCACTATCTGGGTTTCCTTGGTCGAGCAAGCTGCACGCAGTGCGCCACAGAGGATAGCGATGTTAGGAGCTGGTACGGCAGCTGGGTCGAGGTCACGAACAGTCGCATGCAGCATAGATTGGCGCGTCTTGCCGGATAAAGCGAGATGACTATCAGAGACCTCGACAATGGTCATGGATGAATCGAGGACGATGGTCGGCGTCGGGGTATGGCGGTAGATGCATGCGAGCGAGGGAGACACCGCTGGGGAGTCATCGTCTGGCAGAGGTACACTGCGTGATGTCGCGAGCTTCTCATCGAGGGAGAGAGCGGCCACTTGGCCGTCGGAGAACATTGCGACTTGTTTGAACAGACATGAGAGGCAGAAGAAGGGGAAGGATGGAGATATCTTCTTTTGTTGGTCTTGATCGCGTGGCGGAAGAAAAGTCACTGTGAGTGGCGGAAACGCAGCCGGCAGCAGAACCACTCATTGACGCTTCCACTGCGCTGCCATTCATTGGTGCGACTTGAGCTGGAACCAGCTTCCGGTCTTCCACTCCAGGCGATCGCCCCTGACATCCCCCGCCTCTGCCCATGGAGTTAAGGCGCCTAGGCCATCCGAGAGCAGACGATTAGTAGTCGACTTGTATTCTCTTAGAGCCAGCAAAGTCCGTTCTAGGTTCACGGGCGGTGGCGACTGCGTGAAGATCTATCTACTATGCATTGATGCTTATCTTCTTTATCATTTGGACACAGGGAGAGAGTAGTCATTAAGGCCAGTCCTTCAAAGCGAGTAGACGAGAGTTGCAGTCAGGATTAGCTGCCACTGGTACTTACTGGAGGCATTTGAGCTGTCTAAAATGTTCGACAACTGCCGGCGGTCCATCGCGCCCAGCCATCGGGGCAGCAAGCCACCAATCAGAGCGCCTTGAGTAACTACTATCTTGCTCGCTCGGATATGTTACCATGGATCGAAGCAGGTTTGGCTACCCGCTAAATCTAATCAGCTAGATTTTCATCGCCGAAAAGAGTAGGACCACAAAGCTTCGGACAACCGGGAATGCCGGTCGAGTAATCTCGGCTATATCAAGCCCGCTGAAGTGTTGCGACAAATCCGCAACAATAGACGAAGATACTTATTCACTAAACTCAGGCGAAGAGGCGCTCCCGGATCTCAGGCCACGCTAATGTGGCGTTTGCATATATATCTTCACGATGTGGGACGGGAATGAGTCCGCTCTCTAGGCATGCAGGGCTGGGTTTGAGGACGAGGTGTTTATCGATATGGAGCGCCTGTTTAATATCGCATGCCACTTCGTTCACGGTAAGCCCAGCTATGAAGAATAGTAAGCAATGCCGGGATACAAATAGGGTTCGGACATTATTTGGGTTCGCCTTCCGAAATGGCAGATTGGGGAACCCCACTTGCCGGATTGCTCATATACTGCTGCGTACACATGGCGTCCTTGGGCGACACTATGGGGTCACTCAGACTTCCCACTTACTTTACGCCTTTGAACATATGCCAAATTCTATTGCATAAACGAACTCAGAGCTATGTTCTGTCGACTCCTCCTTTAATGGTCCTTCCCGTTGGTTTGGGAGAATCATACTAAGGGTCAATGGGTAGAGGCAGCTTCGCGCGAGTGCTTCAATCTAACTGGTACATTTAATCCCAATATAGCTACCGTTATTCCATGCAGTTGTTGACCAGGCGATGAGTGGTAGACACCAGATCCCGCGAATGGGAACGTCATCGGATTCTTCGCCCATGATAATTTAATTTCTGAGACCCAACAAAGGGTTACCCCGTATCATTATTCTGGAAAACGGCAAGGCTGAGCTGGATGCAACTGAAGAGGTACTCTTTGCAGCAAGCCCTCTCTGTGTTGGTTTGTTGAAGGAGCAGCCCGAATCTACGGAGATATTGTCCGACACAGCCAGCATGAGGTTCTAAAAGAGCCAATCGGTTCCGTATGTGGGCTCATTACACTGTAGATCACGTTATTGCCGCTGACAGACCAACCTACCTCTGCTGAGCTCTTATGTTCAAGCTATCAAAGTATTCATATATTTCCAGGACATAAGGAATCTCGTACAAGTTTCTAGCCTCAATATCTCTATCAACATATTTCCAGCTTTATTATGTATGAGGGTTTGTCGGGTATGTGTTCTAGTAAGACATTTCGTCTTTTCGAGGTTGTTGTTTTGATAATCATCACTAGTCAAACCAAATCTTTTCCTGGTAGGAGCTGGCAATATGCATAACCTGGTGATCTGGGGACACTTACACCTCAAAGAATGTGGACTAGGGCATGAGCGTGGCCGGTCGATCCACTCTATGTATATTCAAGCTGTTCCACTACTGCCTGTGGCATGTTGTACCATTTCTCTCGCTCCATGTACATGCGCCCCTTGCTTACATAGATTTCGGGCCTAGCATGTCTCACGGAGACTGGAGAATGTAAGCCTCTTCAGACTCAGTGTTTATCCAGTAAGAGTATGGGCACTTGATACGTGGAATGGTATAGTCTCCAGGCAAAGGTGAATTTGAATATGCAGAATGGCGCTAGCTGTGCTATGTATGCGTGATCCTTACCTGCCTCACATCCCGGTATTACACTTATTCACTCATCGCATAATATTTAGAGCCCAGGTAGCCCTTAATAATGTCCTCGGAAACCATACCTCCATCTTCTTGGCTGTCACAACCTTAGCACTATTGTCCCCCATCAACTTTCAACAACAAAGATGGTACTCATCGCCAAACTTCTCACTCTGGCTCTAACTGCTGCCGCTACCCCTATCCTTCGCCGCGACGCAATCACAGTCGAAGACGACATAAACCAAAGAATCGCCCCGGGGATTTCAACTCTTGGCAATGACGTTAATACTTTCCCTTCTAGTGGTTTAGCCGGGGCTGTGGCTATCCACAACGATTTCCAGAATCTTATTTCTTCGGTGAATTATGCAACTACCGATACCAACAGCGCCGGCTCCTTGGATGATGAAACTGGAGCCGCTATTCTTAATGATGTCCAAGCGGTCATCGAAAGCCTTTCGGGCGTATTGACTGCCGTTGCAAATCAAGCAACTGCTTGGTCAAGTGTTCCAGGTGGAGCAGATTTAGTACTCAACGATCTCCACACTCTCCACACGGCCTTCGACAATTTCGCTGATGCATTGATAACGAACGAACCCGCTTCTCTCAGCGACCAAACTACCTCAGTCAAGACTACTATTGATGGTGCTTTTAACTATGCTGAAGCTGCCTACTCCTCCTAGCCCACTTGGCTATTTCATGGCGCAGGACATCTGTCAATGACGGCAGGTGGTGACAAAAATTTCGTTGCCTCGAGGAAGGGATGAAGTGATACTACGGATATTGAAAGGCGCCGAAGCAAAAAGCGAGAAGCTTGCAACGGGATTTGGAAGTTTTCTCGCATCAAATCCTTTTATTGGTTGTTTTGTACCTCACAACTCAATGTGCCTTTTTGTAATCCTAGGAATGTACTTTGCTCCCATCGCAGCATTCACGCGCTCCTCTTCCGTGCACCAGATTCCTCAAATGAAGCCGCTTCTATAAGGGAACTCAGGTTCGCTGTCAAGCTAGGGCATCCTGGCTAGAGCCACACTGTTTCAACAACTTCCAGCAAACATCATGTTGTTTAGTTCAAATATTAAGCAAGCACGATAGAATCCATTTTCTACCCTTCATGAAGGGGATGAAAGTGACAGCACGGTTTAAGTTCAAAGGCGGAAGCTTAATCTTAACCCAAAGTAAACGATCGCAGAAGTAGGACTTCCAAGCGACGACCGAAGCAGATTCATTACCCCTTCTTGGCCCCCTGTGCATTCTTTAAGAAAACTGAAGGCAAGTACAATATCTATTGTACTTCTTTAGCATAAAATTGATTATCTAAACCTTTCAAAGATACATCTGGGTGTAAGGCCCTCTCCTAGTCACAATGTACCTGTCATTTACCTTGCTCGAACATATGCTACGGGATCTTCATGAAGAAGTGGGGTTGTTTTCAAATACCCTAACGGGGTCTCAAAGAACAAACAAGGCGTGGGGAGTAGTAGCACATGGAAAGAAAGCCACGGGAAAGAGAACATCAAAAATATACAGTATCTCCAGTTAAGCGGGCTGAGTATTTGACCAGAACTTGGAATATTTATATGGGCATTGGCTGCTCGCGAATAGGACTTTGACATGATGGCCAGTGAGCTCATGCCTAGTTAGCGTTAAGCATAAATTCCGCTTAACTGGCGACGTCTTTCACAATTGGAGATTCGGGATCGGACAAGAATAACCGATGTATATTTCTCGGGTAATTTTTTGCCTTTCATATTGATATATTCCGATCGTCTTTTTATTGCATTGTCGACCTATTTCACCACTCCCACATCGTCTAATCCCGAGCAAGAGGGGGTTATCACAATGTTGGACCACGTAGTGCGAGTTAGCCGTCGCTAGGCTGTTCAATCCTTGCGGCCGCGCAATGCTGCCCGATTTTAGCGAGGTGTCTAGTCTAATTACCCCCAAGGCAAACGGCTGCGTGTGAACCGAGCCACTACTACCGTGTTAGTGCCTTTTCTTCCGTTGGGGATGTGGTCCCCTGTCCTGTCTGAGTCCTTTCATCTCGCGCCCGCCCTCCTTTGACCTCGGTGACGTTGGACTCCAAGTGCACCTTTTAAGGCAAAGATCATCATTATCGACCCTCCTGTACATCACCTACTTAATTCGGCATGGACGCCAACTGGGAGACAAAGAACCGCAATTGATGAGGTTAAACTAAGTTGAATCGTGGTCAGTAGGCACTAACCGTAACGGGTTATAGTTAGGCTGTGGCCAGAACAACCGGGTGTCCTCGGTGATCTGTGCGCTGTGACTACAGAACGCATCTGTTGTTTTATTAGGGCTATAATGAGATATTCTTACCCCCAATCAGGATGATCACATTGAGTACTGGAATATCTGCCTTTTAAGCTCCTAAAAGTGAGTGTTTGTCCACAATTGCAAGGGAACTGTCACCAACGCGAAATACGGAGTATCTCTGTAATCAGTTGATTGCGATGCGCCGGCAGCTCGACTAGCGCAAGGGGGTGGGGCTCAACAAGGATGTGATAAAGAGCGCAGTCCAGTAACTTGTTAGTTAGCTACTTTAGTAGTTGTTGTCCATGCCTTATATGTTGTGATCTACATTTACACAGGAGAACTCTTGATTCCCTGCGCTCCCATCTGCGGACGGAGGTGGTGCAACAAGGCTATGGCGATGGAGATAACGAGCGCTGCCCACTAGTTTTCTAATTAGTTACTTCGTTACATTATGTACTGATCTACTGTTACACTAAAGAATTCTCTGTTCTCCTCGGAAGCTGGTTAGCAGGGTTGCTCAAGTCCAGTCCACTCTGCTTCCCAGGCTTAAATCCTTGGGATGCGACTACAGACGGAGCAGTTGGCCAGAAGTGTACCTGCATCATGCCGCCGAGACCGACAGCTGCTTCATCGATAAGTGACCATGTTGAGAAGCCCATACAGATTTCCACTGCCAGTGGCCCGTCTGCGTCTGCCGGTGTTGTAACCGAGCGCAAGATCACAGGTGTTGCGTGGTTTGTTGTCAATGTTGCCCTGCTGTCGGCGACTTTTCTGTATGCCTTCGACAATACCGTGACTGCAACGGTGCGACCTGCCATTGTCGACACATTTGGCAATCGCATAGATATGCTCCCGTGGGTTTCAGTGGCGTATCCCATGGGTGAAGTTGGAACCAACCCTATCTGATAAGATAAGTGAGCAGCAGAGTAATTTGGCGGACAGACTACCAACACTTTTGTTCTCAGGGCGAAACTCAACAAGTTCCTCGACGGCAAGCTTGTCTTTCTCGCTGCCCTGCTTATTTTCGAAGTAGGATCTGCGGTTATCGGCTCAGCGTCGTCCATTGGCGCCGTCGTCGCGGGTCGCGCTCTGGCTGGCTCCGGTGGCTCTGGCATCTACGTCGGCACCATTAGCATGATCACTGGAATGACAACTGCCAAAGAACAAAACCAGTATCTCAACATTGTCGGCATGGCGTGGAGCTTAGGAACTATTCTTGGACCCGTTATAGGATCTGCGTTTGCTGATTCGCCTGCAACATGGAGATGGGCTTTTTACATCAATATCTGCGTTGCCGCCGTTGCCGCCCCCGCGTGTATCTGGATTATGCCTTCGGCGCCACCTAGCATGTCGCTAGGAGTCAGGGACGTGATTAAGGCATTTGACCATCTGGGTGCTGTGTTATTTCTTGGCTTTGCCGTGTCGACAGTCATGCTTTTGGGCTTTGGTGGCGTTGTGTGCAGCTGGGATAGCGGCCAGATGATTGGACTTTACGTTGCCACCGCTGTGCTATGGATCCTGTTTGCTCTGCAGCAGAAATTCCACCTTTTCACGTCGGATCGCATTTTTCCCGTGCAGTTCTTCAAGGATCCATTGGTGGTTGGCCTGTGGATCTGGACAATTGTCGCAGTTTCTGATATCGTTGTCACCATCTACACGCTTCCGCTGTTTTTCCAGTTTGTGCTGCATGATTCCTCGATGCGCTCTGCAGTCTATACTCTGCCATTTGTGGCATCTATTGTGGTCAGTGCTGGCATTAGCGGGGGAGTAATGCCCAAGTTCCCATGGTACAAGTGCTGGTTCATCTGGGCCAGTGTCCTGCTCCTTGTTAGCAACGGCCTGCTGTCCAGCATTCACACGAATACCTCTCGGGCTACCATTTGTGGATACACCATTATCCAAGGTTTTGGTGTCGGACCAGTCATTCAGCTTGGCTATACTGTGGGCCAGTTGAAGCGTCCGCAGGCGACAAGAAAGGACGTTACGGCGTTCTTCTCTTGTGCGCAGATGGGTGGTCTAGCCTTGTCACTGGGCATCGCTACCTCTGTTCTTATCAACCATGCCACAGAGAAGATATCGCACATTCTACCAAATGTTCCTCTTAGCGAAAATCAGAGGCGCTATTGATGGGGTAGGAAGTAGCTTGCTCGCGACGTTGTCCGAACATGTTCGTGCTCAGGTCACGGAGGCAGTTACGCAGAGTGTAGCTTCTGTGTTTTACCTGAACATATTTGGTGCAGCGCTTGGCTTCCTTATTGCCCTCCCTCTCAAATTTGAGAGATTGGATTTCGCCGCGCTGCAATAATACAATTACGTACTTGTCTGTTCCAAGCTGACTTAAATCTACCGCATACATCACTGTTAGCATGATACAACTGTAATATCCTCAATCATTTTGCTTGGCGATAGACTTGTATGTAATGTGGATCTATGGTATAGAAAGTACAACGTAGTAAGATATGAGGTATAGTAGACTTTAGAGAGTACCCTTCATCACCTTTAACAACGCACAGTGAAATCAAGGACAATTTTACACGGCGTAGCGTAATGTTACCCAGACGAACCTAGTCATTACTAGCCGTGGACACTATATATCCAGCCCCGCAAACCTAGAGCCACATTTGAGACGCTCGCCTGTTGCTGGCCGCAGATAGTAGTGGGTAACAACGCAGTCAGCCTTGTCCAACAATCCAAGTGATTGGCATCAAAGACTTACAGGGATCCACGCGTCATTAAGAGTCCCGTGGGGTTATGCCAGTCGGACGTCCGACCCGGAGCTATTAAACATAGTGTGATACCATCCACTGCGCCCAGTTCGTTCCACCATTACATTCCACCGTACCATCACATTCAACAGTATGGGCATTTACACCCGGCTCCCTGAAAGCATCGACGAGGTCGACATTATCATCGTCGGCGGTTTGTTCATCTACTCATCTGCTAAACATAACTCTATACTAACGAACTCTCCTAGGCGGTACCGCGGGGTGTGTCGTTGCTTCCAGACTCGCCGATGCCGATCCCTCACTGTCCATCCTCGTGGTCGAGGGCGGGCAGAACAACAAGGGTAACCACTTGATTGCGTTCCCACTCCTTTTTCCAACTGCACTTCTTCCAACCAGCACCGCAACCCTGTTTTACAAGGGAAATGCGGAGCCGCAGTTGGACAATCGCGAAATGATCGTCCCAGCAGGCGGTGTTCTGGGCGGAGGGTCATCAATCAACTTGATGATGTACAGTCGTGCTCAACGCCATGATTGGGATTCGTGGGCCACTCCCGGATGGTCTACAGATGAGATGATCCCCTTCTTAAAAAAGGCATGTTATCGAATCGACAAAGCTGCACTCTATGAACCCTGCGGCATTGCCATTTTTGGCTACAGTGTTCACTAACCCACCATTACTCATTGTAGCTTGAGACGTATCACGGTCCGGGCCCTGACTCTGTTCATGGAAAGAATGGCCCTATTGTTGTGTCCCCTGGAACGTTCTACTCTGAGCGTACGGCAGAGCAATTCATTGCTGCCGCCAACGAGGTCGGCTACCCGACGGTCAATGATCTTCAGGACCTCGACACCAGCAACGGCGTTCAACGCGCCCTCCGCTTTGTTGACAAGGAGGGCCGCCGCCAGGATGCCGCCAGCAACTACTTGCATCCGAAGCTGGAAGATGGAGCACACCCAAACCTCCACGTCCTCGTTGAGACCAAGGTGATCAAGATCCTGTTCGAGGGCAAACGAGCTGTGGGTGTTGAGTTCAAGCCAAACCCTGCCTTCCAGAAGGAAGACAACACCGATGTTCGACGCGTCAAAGCCAGAAAGCTAGTTATTAGTTCCTGTGGCGCTATAGGCACCCCGTTGCTTCTCGAGAGGTCCGGTCTCGGCGACGAGGCGATTCTCAGCAAGGCTGGCGTTCCTACTGTGGCCCATATCCCCGGAATTGGCCGGGACTACCAGGATCATCATCTCTTGACTCAGGCATACTACAGTGCCTTGGAGCCAACCGAGACGTTTGACGCCCCTCTTGCCGGTAGAATCAACATGGAAGAGTTAATCAAAACCAATACGCCAATCATGGGGTGGAATGCCCAAGATGCGTCCTGCAAGCTGCGTCCCACCGAAGCGGATGTCACTGCTCTTGGACCCGAATTCGAGGCGGCATACGCAAGAGATTATCGCTCCACTCCCAACAAGCCCATGGCGCTAATGGCTTTGCTGGGCGGCTTCCCTGGTGAGCCACACACCATTGAGCCAGGCCAATACCTCGCGACGTCTTTGTTCACTGTCTACCCCTACGCCAGGGGCCACGTCCACATTACAAGCCCCGATCCCGACGCGGATATATCGTTTGAGACTGGATTCTTGAAAAGTGACTTGGATGTCAAGAAGCTCATTTGGGCCTACAAGAAGCAGCGAGAGATCGTGCGCAGAATGGATGTTTATCGCGGCGAGTTTGCGGGCGTGCATCCGCCGTTCGCTGAGGATTCCGCCGCCGCCCTTGTCAGGCTGGACAAGCCAAATGACAAGAACATCCCCGACATCCAATACACTGCGGAGGACGACAAGGTCATTGAGGGCTGGGTGCGCAAGAATGTCGGCACCACCTGGCACTCACTCGGTACTTGCAAGATGGGCGCGCTTGCTGATGGCGGCGTGGTTGATCCCGAGCTTAATGTTCATGGGATTGAGGGCTTGAAGTTGGTGGACCTGAGTATTGTTCCTCAGAACATTGGCGCAAATGCGGCCACCACTGCTTATGCTATTGGTGAGAAGGCTGCTACTATCATTATAAAGGACCTTGGGCTTGCTGGAGACGAGTGAACTGCCGCTATATTCCGAGTGTAATGATCGGATCTGTACACTTCTTCCACAGCTGAGATATTAGGTCTGCAGCGATTAATATAGCAGAATAATTTTATCTACTTTCGTGGGTATGGATTGGACTGTCTGGCCATCAGAGTGAGACAGAGGATTACTACTAATGGAGGCAGAAGTGTGCTTGCGGTTTGTCTGGTTGAATTGTTGATGCCATGTATCTGGTGTTACTTGGATGATTGATGAAATTGTGAACTTGGGTTGGGACGAAACTCGAAACCTGAAATTGTTCTTGAAGCCAAGGGGGTGCAGAAATAGTTGGTGGAGACCAGACAGCTAACCTTTACATTTATGCAACTACTTAACAGTACGACAACCCAAAAACGCCCCGTTTAAGTCAGCAGGAAAGTCATGGAGAACAGAAGGAACACACACACTTTAGAAGCAAGATATGGAAGTAAAAAAGAAGAGGTGATCGTGACTCGTAGGCAGCTGACTGGCCGTCTGGCTAGTCAGCTGCAAAACTCGTTTACATTCTGACCTTTTGTATAGCTACTGCACTTTGCTTTTTGCTTTTGTTGTATATGTAGTTGCACGATTTTCTTCAAACAGTGTACATTCAGACGAGCTGTTATGGAAAGATTTTATGTTACGAGTGTAACTTCTAGGTCTCCGACAACGAAGGCGTAGATATTTTACGAAGAGATTGTGCTTTACAGACCCTCTGTAGTAATACAGTAGACAACCAAGCGTTGACACGCTAAGGCTTAGTTGCGCCCGTACGTGTAAGCAACAGACGGATGGCCTCGATGTAGCCCATCTATATCATGGCCTAAATTGGACAATTATCCATGCCATACCAGAAGAGTCACAATCTGAACAGTAGATGATATCATTCTGATGTTCTAACTCTAGGTTAAAACATGAGTGTTGAGCCAAACAATTTATCCACTATTCTTTATCCCAGGCAGCCTTCTCACACACCGAAATCTTCCCATTGTAGACCACCACATCTTCCTTCAAACTCCCTAATCATCATTCGTGCCCCTTCCTAAACTCGGCTTCTGTTCACACTATACTTCTTTATGTTAGCAAAACACCTATCCTTCTTGTTACCCATGCAGCCAACAAGTACCTTCTCAAGGATAAAAGATCTACTTTTTCGCGCAGCCACACTTCTTGCACTGCTCCTTGTAACCAGACTCAACCAGGTACGTGCCGTAGGAGTCACACTTGGAATGAGGCGTCAAGCAGTGCGAATCAGGATTGAGACCACCACTGCAGTGGATGGTGTACTTGGCTCGAGCAGCCAGTTCAACAGGGTTGGGTTCAGGCTCGGCCACTGGAGTAGCAGAAATCATGGTAGCCAGGAAGGCGGTGGCAATGGCGAAGGATGTGAATCGCATGGTGAAGGTTGAGTTGGTTCTTATAAGCTGTATGGCTTTTAGAGATAGTAGAGTCCTCAATGAGAGATGACGCTGTTGATGAGGGAGAAAGCATCCGGAGTACGGGCTGGTACGAGCCTTTTATGCCTCGAGCTGGATGAGTGCTATAGTTCTCGGTATGTGTGATTCTGGAGAACTGCTGCAGGTCGACCAAGTAGCACCGTGCTGACGGCGCTGATCCTGAGGCATTACTGCTATGTTCTCTAGATGACTTGTTTGGGCTTTTTCTCGGCTCGAAGTGAAGCCGGTGTGATTGCATTTCAGGCTAAGATATGGCACGCCTGATTCTCAGCTCGTTTGTGTAACATCGACATGGCTACTGAAGATCTCGCGAGTACTGTCCGTGGCCTGTAACTGCTTTGGACAGAGTCTTTGTTACCACATATTGTCAAAAGAGCATGAATTCCACCGAATGGTGTAAAGATACACCCATTACAGGCGAAGAAAAGATCAAAGAGAGTTGGTGCCCGTACTTCTCATGAGAACGATGCGTTGACGGACCCTGATTCTGTAGGGCTGACAGCGGGAGTGCTCGGGAACGAAAGCAGGGAACAATCTGTTTGCCTGGATGATCCCCAGGGTCTTGTGTAACACACTGCACTCAGGAGCAGACAAGCTCAGCTTATGGGCTCACAGAACCACAACGAGCAAGAGAAACCGATTGGCAGGCAACATCTGTCCAGCCCTGCAGGGTATCATGTGACTCCCAATAAGGTATATTCCCAGTCCACTAGCCCTGAACGAAACTCTTCTTTCCATCATCCTTCATCCTCCTAATAATCTCTTCCATCAACAATCACCATATAACCAAACTCTTTCTATCAAGCCATCAATCCCAGCATCAAAATAACTATGGAAGCAAGTGACCCTCCCCTAGCCCAAGTCTTGGCTGAGGCCAACCTTCATCCACAGCCATTCCACCGCGAGCATCCCGACGAGCTCCACACCCCTAGCTGGCATGCAGCAAGCAACCGCCCCATTGTGGACGGCAAATTCAACGATCCTGAGACCGGTGAAGTCCGTGATGCTGGAGGCTTAGTGTTCTCCGGACCCCCCGCTGTCGATATCATCATCACAAATATTCACGAGGGCTCGTCCAACAACATCTTTCGCGCTCAGCTCCCCTTTCGTATGGAGAAGCTGCTGGCGTGGATTCTGCGGGTAGTGGGGGAACGCAAGCTCCAGCTTGATTCTCTTAATGCCACCCCATATGCTATTCGAGTGGTGCTTGCTCATGAATTAAATGAGGGGCAATTTCATGAAATTGCTCATGAGATGGCGACCGGGATTTGGGGGCAGCAATAGTGAAGGGTGCTGTGGAGTGGTAAGACTGGGATGGATGGGGTCGAGAACGCTCATTTGCTTTTTGCGGGGTGAGACCCGTAATATGGGGCAAAGGGTATTGCTTTGTTTGGTTCTTATCATCCGGGCTAGACTGTCAGATTGGAAGTTCGACCGGCGTGGGGTTGTCTGAAGGATTCATGCTGTGTAACCTACGTTTCGATAGTCTGAGACTTTAACGAAGCATACTGCCTTATACGAGGTTTCATCACAGTAGCTAATTTAGCACGTTGTCTCTACAACACTATTATCTAGGCAGCCATTTTCGGTGCATTGAATCTGGCGTGCATTAGATTTCGGCACGGGTGAGCTCGGACAACCTGAGGGCAAAGAGCAATCATGATTCCCTCAGAAGTGAAAGTACACCCCTTACTCTATTCAGTGGAGTATATTATGTCTCATAGTTTACTATATCTGCATTTCGAAAGAGAGATTCTAGGTTCGAAGTATGTGTTAAGTCCCTGGCATAAATATATCCAGCACATCTACATTGATCATATTTCCGTCATCATCGACGATATGTTCAAGCAATGCTTTCAGTCTTCTCAATTTCCTCCCTGCTCAAGCACCACTTCTTCTGCAAGTCAGCATCAAGGGCCAGAGCATACACATCCTTAGGCCACCACTCTCCCCAGCTAGTCAAGAAGATCTGTTCCGGATCTGCCGGGAAATCGTTAATGAAAAAGGCGCGGAGGAGGTTCTGGGCACCTATAGACGTTCGTCAGCAAGTCAACGTAAAGAGTAAGCTATGAGTGATCCTCACCCTCGGGGATGGTCTTGGCATCGGGCATATCCATGGTCAAACCCATTGACGAAGCGAGAGGAGTGCTCGGAATGAGACCCGGTGAAACAGCAACGACCGTGCAAGACGGAAGTTCACGCCGCCAGTAAAATGCACCCAACAGCTGGACGAACTTGGAGGCACTGTATATCGGACGATAGCCTGCGCCAGATTTGGCTTTCAGGTCCACGTCAAGGGTTGCTATACCATAAACAGTTAATAAATGGCAGAATGGAGTACCAGGATAATGCAGGGATCTCACCCGGATCCTGGTCTCTGAGACCACGGATCGCCCCGGAAGAAACGAAAACAACCCGCGACTGCGAGGCAGATAGCACATCACGGAGCAAGTGGACCAGATAATGCGGGGCTGTTATAAATTTGCTTCACTGTTAGTGAATCCACTTTCCCTTTTGTACGCTCAAAGTCTATCCATATTCCACGAACCTAGATGGTTAACAACATATCCTGAGCACCATTGCGATCCATGCGGACCGGGGCCTTCGCCATTGTCCAGAGTGCCGGCGCAGAGGAAGAGATAAGCCAGCTTCTCGGAACCTAACTTGGAAAGGACATTTGCTGCGAAAGACTGCACACTCTTCAAGGACAGGAGGTCGAGTGGGTAAATGGTGATAGAATGCTTGGAAGTGTCATAGTTGAGGCTATCGTAAGCAGCCTGAACCTTGGCCGTGTCTCGCGCGCCCAAGATGAAATTGTACGGTTCGGCTTGCTCAAGCAACTGCTTGATTGTTTCAAAGCCCTGTGGTGTCTTAGAAACTGATACATGGAAGGGTGGAAAGCTAAGCACACCAAGCCGGATGAGATGCCAGTTGCGACAATTGTCTTTGCCATGGTTGCTAGGATGAGGCTGTGAGATTTCCTGGTATGTTATCGAGTTATTGTTGGGGAACAAACAGGAGATTCCGAAGTTGCACCAAATATGCCCCGCTCGGCGATCAAGTGGGGTATTAATGTCATGTGGTTTGTGTGTTCTTAGCACCCAATGGGATCCGAAAATTAATTCCGATAGAAAGATTTCTCTTCATACATTTCACTTTTTATCATGAGATGTAGACTTAATAACTCATCTTGTGTTGAAATCGAGTACAGCATGCAACGCACGTACTTCATCAGTTGTATCAAGGTAGTAGACAAGCCTTTTGAGTACGATTATTACGAGAAAATATATCAGTTCATCTCTGCTATCTGGCACATTATTTATATAAACAACGGGATAACAAGTACTGTCTAAAGAGATGCCACTCGTTACTTTTACAATACTTCGTAGGCTCACAACAAGCAGCATATTGCTCTGGATGATCAACTTTCCGCGGCACAAGTGCCTGAAGCCCGATCCACGGATCAGGACGTGGATACTTTAAGCAACCCGTAACCCTGGTGCATACTTTTTGTAGGCCATGTAGCTATACAATAACGTAACCCACGGTCAGGCGGCCCATCTGATTATCCCATATAAAAGATGCTTTTTTAAATCTTTATATCTCAACTAATACTGCATCTAATTAGTTCCAACTTCATACATAGATAACAGACAATATAAAGAATAATATATGATTTTTTAAAAATTTTTCAAATTTTTCTTATATAAATTATATTAATGTATCTAAAATTACAGATAAATTACAAATTTTGTAACATGATAAGATACTATTCATATATAGATTTTTAAGAAGTATTGGATGATTGTTTATATAATTTATAACTTATTTATGTAATATCGAGTCTTCTAGTCTTATAATACTTGAGATATCTTATGTTTAAAAAGGGTCTTTTATATGGTATTACACCTGGGCCGCCTAACCGTGGTGGGCCGCTTAACCGTGGGTTACGTTAGCTGGAAACTCAGTAATCTGACAAATTCCGAAATCTTTGTACTAGGGTCATGGTGGAATCAAGTCGAACGAATTTGTATCAACTTGTATAAATCGGACGCGGAGAAGGTTCTCCCGTTCGTGATTCTAAATGGACTCTGAAGATATAAGACATCTTACTCTCAGGGTGTCTATTTTCGTAGGCACCTCTGGTATTCTGGAGTTTCTGTCTTAACTGCAAGACTTCGTCATGAATAAGGGAAGAGTTGGAGCAGCACTATTACTCCTAAGTGTGAGGCTGCTGTCTATCATAACCAGCATTAACAGTAACAATTATAAGCTGGGCGGAAATTATAAGCCATAGCTAGTCAATGTCTTTGTCTGATTAAACAACCTCAGCTGATAACCATACTACCGAATATAAACGAATGAAACGTGGCTATTGCGTGATCTACTAATATCTTAGACAGAACGCTAAGCATGCAGGAACAGGGGAGACAATCCAAGCAATCTAATCACAATCCACTAGTGGTAGTCACCCGACGTACTACAAAAGTTACTCTTCCCTATAAGGAAGCTCCAAGCAGGCCCTAGCCTCAACCAGCCCCCTCCCCCTCTTTTTGTCTCATTAGAATGATACTATATCAACGATTCCTTATTCCTTTCAGCTCCCCATTGAAATACCCTGGACTAATTCAGATCAGACACCCAAGATACCAAACATCTTCTTCCATAGCACTCGCAGCCTGACTTCAAACCGTCACCTACATCATGTTTCAGCTTCCCCGTGCCCCACCCACTGACCAAATTCTCCCCCTCATGCATCAAATTATTGATGAACTCACTCAGACGCGCAATTCAGTACTCAAAGCAACGACTCCAGAAACAGCCACCTTCGCCAACACTCTTCTTCCCTTGGCGCAGACCGAAAATGCAGTCCAAGGCCAGCTAGCCATGATCGACATGCTACAGTACGGTGCTCCATTACGGGAGACCCAGGATGTCGTTCACTCCGCCATGAGCGTCTATGCCGAAGCACAGGCGGCATGGATTGCCAACGGGGACTACTTCCGTCCACTGCAGGCTGTCCGTGACAATCGAGAGGACTTTGAGCCATTGGATGCGGAATCGCAACATTTGCTCGAACGTGAGTTGACTGTATACCGAATGGCAGGGCACGAGGAGCTGGATGTGGAAGAGGTGGAAGGCTTCTTGCAGGAAGGGGCAAATATTGGACAAATAGAGAGGAAGTTTCAGGAGAATTTATCAAGGGAAGATGGGGGCGTATGGTTTACACGGGACGAGTTGGAAGGAGTACCAGCGAGTGACTTAGGAAAGTGGAAATCGGATGGTGAGAAAGAAAAAGAAAAGCTATTTGTGCCCTTTGCGAATGGAGGTACACTGGCAGTGTTGACCTATGCTCGTCGCCCTATGTTTTTGGCCGACAATCAGAAGCTTAAGGTTAATCAGCCATTGTTTGAGGAAATTGTCCGTCGACGGGCTCGACGGGCCCATCGATTGCACCATTCTACACATGCTGGGTATCGGCTGCAGCAACGTATGGTGAAGGATCCGACATGGCTAGGCGGGTTTCTGGATGGATTGAAGGAGACACTGTGCGCCCGCGGCAAAGATGAAATTGCGGTGTTGCAGCAGAGGAGGATGAAGGATATAAAAGACAAGTGTAACAAAGATGGTGTGGGTTTTCCCCCGTGGGATAAACCCTATTACATGCGGTTAGTAGAAGAGGAAGTTGCGGTTGACCAGCTGCAGCTATCTGAGTTCTATCCCCTCGAACAAACAGCCATAGGAATGCTGGGTATTTTTGCCTCTGTTTTGGGTCCCCAGTTCGAATCTGTCGAAGCTGAGAAGGAGAGCCTCTGGCATGAGTCCGTCCGGGTATTCTCTGTCTGGGAGAGTGCGCCGACCAAGCAGTTTGTTGGGTATCTGTATTTTGATCTGCTATGGAGAGAAAACAAATATCGCGGTAACCAAAGTGTGAATCTCCAATGTGTATGCGCCAGCCAAACATTAGTGAAATCGCACTCGATCCAGACTAACAGAGAATTTCAGGGCTATCTCCGCCCAGATGGCAGTCGGCAATACCCTGCCACAATCCTCATGTGTTCCTTCCCTACTCCCACTCCCACCGGTTGTGCCTTGCTCAAGCACCATCAAGTGGTAACCCTTTTCCACGGTAGACAAGCTTGAATTTATCCTAAACATAAGACACAGAAATGGGTCATGGAATCCACGATCTCCTTGCACGAACAAAGTACGTCCGATTTCACGGCTACCGGCTTCCCCCTGACTTCGGAGAGATGCCCAGCATGATGCTCGAGAACTGGTGCTGGATGAAAGAGGTTCTGCAGGGTCTCAGCTGCCACTATACTACGCTAGAGAATAGTTACCTGATGGAGTGGCGCAAGCAACATCCCAGCTCACCCGATCCGCCAAAGAAGATTCCGGAGGATGTAGTCGAACGCCTTATCAAGCATCGTTACCTGAATCGAGGCCTATATCATTTGTATCAATTGTATGTTTTTGCTTTTTGTCTTTGAATTCAACTAATCAAACTGAGCAGGTCAATCTCCATCTTCGACTTGCAAATCCATAGTCTCAAGACGGATGCAGAGATTTCAAATCTGGATGTCTAGAAGCTCTGGTATGACCTCCGTGAGGAGGTTGAAAGTATGGACTTCTCCGAGTGCCGAGACGGCTATGCATTTGGAACGTTCAGTCATCTGACAGCGGGCTATGATGTCTGCTACTATGCTTATCTCATGTATGTTCCTCTTCTGTCCAGACTACTTGCTCTATTATACCATTCCTGAAGACTTACCCTCTTGAAGCTGCACGGCAATGGCCCAGGACGTCTTTCTTTCCGTCTTTGCTGAAGGACCATTCCAGAAGGACAAGTGGGAGAAGTACCGTCGCGAGATTTTGCAAAACGGTGGCGGCCAACAAGACTTGTTTCAGATGCTGCAGAGGTTCTTGGGTCGTCAACCAAATATGAATGCCCTAGTGGAAGGTTTGAGGCGAGCAGACAGTCAACATCAGTGCTAGGGGGGCAAACTATTACACCATAAGCTTCTTAGAAGTAGTGTAGAGATTAAGATTCACGCAATGTCTCCTCGCCAAGCAAACCTGGTCAGCTGCTTGATTTGGGTTCAACATGCCCAGGAACCCGGGCGGCCCGAGCCTGCCGAGGGCCACTGACGATGCGGAGGGCCGCTTGGCATTCAATCTCTCCTTTCAAGATGCTCAGAGCATGTCTATTCTAGCCATATAAGCTATTCCGTAGATCTGTGTCATGGACTGTCTCGGAAGGTGTCCGGTAATTGTCCGCGTTTCTCACAGACGCTCCGGACGTCAATAGTCAGCTGGACTACTCATGCATCATGATATAACCGACGGCATCTCCTTTGGGCTGTGCTTAGTGGGTCCGGTAAGCTAGACAATTCAAACGCAGCCATTCACAGCTTTAATTCAAAGACAAGGCTGGATAGTATCCTGATAGAGTTCAAGTAGCATGACTACATGGTGTGAAGAACATAGGTTCCCCTCACTGCACCGGTTAAAGCCATCCCCCTTCCCAGGGGTAAAGATCGTACGACGGACACGGGTCGGTTGTTTTGTCTACTTCATGCTATTTCGACTATACTTATTGCAAAGCGGAATTCGTTCCGATCATCATGCAGCTATTCAGGGACATTCATTCCTCACTATCCGGGGTAATGGCATCCAAATTGTAGCTTCCAAAACTGGCCCATTACTCAAAAGCATACACTGCCTCCGGATAAGCATTCAACACTCTGACCAAAACAAACCTCCACAGGAATGCGGCACCTCCATCCCCTCTATAACTACCGAGGCTTGATCCAGGAGGAACAGATCCCTGAAGAAACGTGACGAACCGTGATGAGCGGGCAACACAGTTTAGTCTCCTCCCCCGCATCCCCTCCGGGCAAAACCCCGGCGGCACTGGCATTAGCCCTAGGCACGGACAATGCCATTGTCAAGCCTTCAGGAACTAAATCAACTAAATCCCTCCCATCCTGCGGGGTACATACTCCACGACGCCCTGCACGCCCGCCGGAATGCCGTCGTCGCTTGACATCAGGTGGAACAACGCATTCCTGCTGCCTCGAAAGTGAGCCTTTTAACCGACCGGTTACTTGACAATGTATACAGGATGCCCCAATATTGGAGGAAAATCCCTGACCCCTGAAGCCACACATGTAATTAGACTTCCCATATCATGCACTCCATGCATGGGCACTGCACTGCAGTGAAGAATATAAATAAGCCCCCCTTCTCGCCCTAGTAGCATGACTTCTTTCCCCAAGCGGCCTATCCTACTGTCTGAGTCTTCTCCTAGCCCAGACCTTCCTGAGCAGGCAGTAATCCATCCACCACCATGTTCTCCCGCCGAAACCTCCTCGCCCTAGGGCTAGCCGCCACTGTCAGCGCCGGTCCCTGTGACATCTACGAAGCCGGCGACACTCCCTGCGTAGCCGCACACAGCACCACCCGCGCTCTATACAGCTCCTTCAGCGGCGCCCTCTACCAGCTCCAGCGCGGCTCCGATGACACCACTACCACCATCTCCCCGCTCACAGCCGGCGGTGTCGCCGACGCCTCTGCGCAAGACACCTTCTGCGCCAACACCACCTGCCTGATCACCATCATCTACGACCAATCCGGCAACGGCAACCACCTGACCCAAGCACCCCCAGGCGGCTTCGACGGCCCAGACACCGACGGCTACGACAACCTGGCCAGCGCCATTGGCGCACCCGTCACCCTCAACGGCCAAAGGGCCTACGGCGTGTTCATGTCCCCCGGCACGGGTTACCGCAACAACGAAGCCACAGGCACCGCCACCGGCGACGAGGCCGAAGGCATGTACGCCGTGCTGGATGGCACGCACTACAACGACGCCTGCTGCTTCGACTACGGCAATGCCGAGACCAGCAGCACTGACACCGGCGCCGGCCACATGGAGGCCATCTACCTCGGTAACAGCACCGCCTGGGGCTACGGCGCCGGCGATGGGCCCTGGATCATGGTTGACATGGAGAACAACCTCTTCTCTGGTGCCGACGAGGGATATAACTCCGGTGATCCGTCTATCTCTTACCGCTTCGTCACTGCCGCGGTCAAGGGCGGCGCTGATAAGTGGGCTATTCGCGGGGCTAATGCTGCCTCTGGCTCCCTGTCCACGTACTATAGCGGAGCCCGTCCGGATTACTCCGGTTATAACCCCATGAGCAAGGAGGGTGCTATTATCCTGGGTATTGGTGGTGATAACAGCAACGGCGCCCAGGGTACCTTCTACGAGGGTGTCATGACCTCCGGATATCCCTCGGACGATACCGAGAACTCCGTCCAGGAGAATATCGTCGCTGCTAAATACGTCGTCGGTTCGCTGGTCAGCGGTCCGTCGTTTACCTCTGGAGAGGTGGTCTCGCTGCGTGTCACGACCCCGGGATACACGACGAGGTATATCGCGCATACTGATACTACTGTGAACACGCAGGTTGTGGATGATGATAGTTCCACGACGTTGAAGGAGGAGGCTAGCTGGACTGTTGTCACTGGTTTGGCTAACAGCCAGTGCTTCTCGTTTGAGTCGGTCGATACCCCTGGCAGCTATATCCGGCATTATAACTTTGAGTTGTTGCTTAATGCCAATGATGGCACGAAGCAGTTCCATGAGGATGCTACTTTCTGTCCCCAGGCGGCGTTGAATGGTGAGGGCACTTCGTTGCGCTCGTGGAGTTACCCGACGAGGTACTTCAGGCATTATGAGAATGTTTTGTATGCTGCTAGCAATGGTGGTGTGCAGACGTTTGATTCGAAGACGTCGTTCAATAATGATGTTAGCTTTGAGATTGAGACGGCGTTTTCTTCATGAGGGGTTATCAGGGGGTTGGTTGGTGGGGTGGGTGTGGGGTGAGCGTGGTTTGTAAATAGGTTATGTTTGCTATATAGCATATGAATACTATACGATGGTATACATTAACGTGGACTGTATCTATGTAATCTACAGAAGCATCAGAGCCCTTGTCTACATGCAACACACTATCACAACATCGTATCCGGAGGGCCTTAACGGACTAATTGGCTGCGAGATGGTGCTAGTTACTGTGGTTAAGGGGTATTTCCAAGCGTATTTATATTTTCTTCACATGATACATGTGGATATCGTATTTCAATGTAGGTTATTATCATGAACAAAGAAACATCAAGTAAAATAGATATCTGATGTACCATAATGACAAATGCACTGCGACATTCCATACCAGCAAAAATACATATACATCATCAACAACATATGCTAGGCAATACCCCCAGCCCTAGGACAAGCATAAAAAGAAAGAATAAGGCTTCCTCACTCCGAGCAATCCTCGACCTTTGGGCCTTCCACGGCTGCAGCAACCTGTTTAGCAAGCTGCGACCTCTCATACGAATGGACTTTGATCTTCTTGGAGTTGATCAGGTCCAATCGCTCATTCTCCAAATGGCGGACTTGGACCTCACCGGAGGAATCATTCGGCAAGGATATCTTGTAAGTCGCTGAGAATTTCTTCTCGAAACCGGCGTACATTGGTGGCCATTGTGGGAAGCGACGGAAGTATTTACCTGTCCAGACGGTCAAGGTGAACGATTCGAATACTTCAATGCCCGCCTGCTTTCTACTGTCAAAGAAATTCTGGCCGATGCTCCCCACAGAGGCATAATTTATAAGAGGCTTGATGGGGTTATTTATGTCGGGGAGGCCTAGTTCAAAGTGCACAGATAGGCTCCTGAGGTTGTGAAAACCGGTTGCTAGTTTGTTGAAGACGTCGTCGGGCTATGGTGTGGTTAGATCTCGGTTCATGTGATAGTATAAGACAGAGGATACATTGGCTTACCCATTGATCGTTCTCTCTCTTGACTCCCACTTGAAGTGACTTCAATTTGGGACAGTTAGCATCGAGCTGACTGAGCTCCTCCGCTGTTAGGACTTGTCGCGGACGCTCCTTGGAGGAAGATTCTTCTTCATGCAGACAAAGAGTAGATAGGTTACTGTGATGAAAAATCGCCTCAATCGGACACTTGTACCCTTTTAAAACTAGGGTTTCCAGAGAATCAAATGATGAGAGGAGTTCGATGAGTTCCTCTCGCTCATGACCGCCTTCGCCTTCCCAGACAGACACTTCAAGGATCTTTAATGATCTGGTAAAGCCAACTAGACATCGAAACAAGCCAGCGCACCTCTGCGGTCCTACAGCTAGTGACACCAGCTTGTCCCACTGAAGCCCATCACGCCAAAACCTCCATTGCTGATCCTCCATCGGGTATCCGTCGAGGGAAAGATGCTCGAGTGGAGGGAATATTTCTTCGCCTGTAAGCTGAAAGCTCCATATAACAGGATGCCTTGGCATCCTTATAACACAACCACCATATTGTCTCATGACAGTAAGCGAGAACGACCGGAGATGTGAGCATTTGAAAAACAATCTTTGTAACGTGGGTATCTGCCTATTTGGCCTGTTTCGGTCATTTGCCGGGTTCACTGATGCAGAGAGAGTCGTGACACGGGGTAGAGTCTGCTCCGCTAAGCTAGAGTTAATCTCCTCGCTATACTGGTTGAGTAGGAGAAGTTCTGGCTTCCTTTTATGCTCATAGATGGTGCGAATCAATGTTGTCGATTGAATACTGGGAAAGCCGATGGTGATCCGTCGAAGGTTTGGCAGACGGGCAATCAGTGTGGCCAAGCAATCATTGCTCTGGAGTCGTTCTAGGAAGTCCTCGTCTGCCCAAGCAGAAGGACTCGAAATATTGATTTCCTGTACCCAAGCTCGTAAGGTGTCATTTTCGTCGGCTTCCAGTCGAGAAAATAGAAGCCATGGGCCTGTAGGCAACTCTGGTTCCGTTTTCGTTTCTGTGGACTTGGAGAACCTACGGGAGCCAGAGAGATTCTCATAAGCCACCAGGGAGATAGATCGGTACAAAACGGGTGTCGCGATCGAGTTAAAGATCTTGTCGACCAAGCAGAGGTGGAAAAGATCCTGAGTGGTGCACTGCTCAAAGATAAGACGCCATACATCCAAGCTTACTGCATCTCTCATCATAGTGAATGGTCGAGAAACCGAGCGAGCAGTTGAGGCTATAAAGATAAGTCCAGTGAAAGTTATGTGGAAGTTGTGAAGAAAAATGAGTGGATATTTTCGTAAGATTTGGGGCTCTATAGAGTTATCGCTCGAAACTGAAATCAAAATTCTGGGGAAGTCAGGGCAGATGTGAAGTACTATTATAGTGCCTCAGTCTAAGAGACAAGGCTCTGCGACGAAGCATTTACTGACTCAGTGCGGAGTGCAAGTGGAATGACACCATGCATTTGATTGGACACTAGGGAGGACAAGGCTGTGAAAGACAGGGGGGCTTTAAAGAGGAAAGAACTAAGCACTAGTAGTAGTAATAGTAGTCCTACTAGCCACTGTAAGCCCGATTGGTTGGCGGACCGGCGACAGCCAGTCACTCTCACATCAGCTGCTGCTGCATCTTCCTCACTATCTTCCGGGAATGCTGTGGGGTATGGATAGCTTGACCCCCAACACTCATCAACCTCGAGGCTGCTTACAAGCTAAATACCCGCGCGGGAAAGGCTGCGTATTGGTAAAACGTATATCGTACAATCTATCTATCTACAATACTAGTGGGACCCTTACAACTTCTCGGCCTCTGCCATCAAGTCCTCAACCTTGAAGTTCTGCACGTCACCGCGAGTGAACGCCTGCAAAAGCTCGCCTTTCCGTCCATTCGCCTGACCCCCAAAGTCATAGAAACGCTGAACACAGCTAACCAGCCAGGTGGCATCTGTCGCAGATACTCCGGAATCAGGCATCACCTGACCATTCATCAGAACCAGACCCTTCTCATCCGCCAGATCCAGATAATGTGTGACCGTCGTATGCGGCTGCGCATACGAGCCATGCAGCTGATACGAAGCCAACGCTGTGAAGATGATCGTGGAAGTGTGGTCGTTGGCTGAAGCAGCGGAAGAAGCGGTCGCCGACGCTGGGGGATGGAAACCCCATTGGAGGAAATGAATGTCCGCACCGCCCTTGGCGGCTTCTGCGTTCTCCTCCGCGGTCTGCGCCTCACTCTGCGTACGGGGTAGGGGAAGAACGAATTGGGGGTTCTGGCGTGCGGCGGAGACGATGCGCTGGTATGTTTCTACCGGAATTACGGCGCAGACCGAATGAGAGTTGTTGGCAAAACGAAGACGCCAGATGGCCTCGATTTCCTTGGGCGGGAGACTGCGCACTTTCTCGACGTCGATGAACGAGTCAAGAGGTCTGATTCCAGTGGATGTGGCGGAGGAGGCGGCGCGAGCCTGGGGAGTAGGTGGAGGAGGAGGGGGTGAAGGACCGGTCGTGGACGGGGAGGGCGAGGACTTGGGTGGCTCCGGAGTGAGAGGAGTTGTTGCTTTGTGACGGAACTCTTCAATCTTTTCCTTGTAGGCCTCCTTCAGAGAATCGATGTCTTGGTGTCCCTCTCTATGGTGAGAGGAGTGAGTGAGCCGGTCATGACTGTTGTCGCGGTCGACTTACGCTTGGGCTTTCTGCTTGAGTTTCGAGCGGTACCTGTCCAGCACTTGGTTGGGATCGTGGTGTGTGGCGAGGAAACGGACATCGTGCACTTGGGCCCAGCGCCTTTGCTGGGGGCATAGAGAGGATGCCCGAGTCCTCAGCAGGGACTTGAACGCAGAAGATCTGAGATACGCCATCTTAAGAATGCTGCTTGAGGAGCAAAGAAAGAAGGTCAATACTTGGGAAGAAGTCCGCAGTTCAGCTAATCTGGACTAGCGCTGATTACATAACATGTGCATAAATACTGCCATCTCGTGGCATAAGCAGAAGACGCTTCACACCATAGCTAGGAATTGCACAGTACCAGCGAAAGTAGAAAGAAGATTATAATAACCTTATTATCTTAAGATGTTGAAAATATGTCGGTCAGGAAAATGGGAACAGCAAAGCAGCCATCCGCATATCTTGATCATACTTCCTGTTAGTCTCCTATCTCCTATCCAGAACTTTCAAGAGTCCTGAGCTGTAGAACCAAATAAAGATGGAAGTGTGCATTGTAACAGCTTATACTATGTGGTACTAATGTATATAGCAGACCTATTGTTTCTGATCAATGCCTAAACTATGTACATATCATTTGAACAAGTCTCTAGACATGAAGGTGTCTATAGCCTCATTACACAAGAGTCTCTGCCCTGTCTGGGAAATTTGAAGTGCTTTATGTGTAAATGACAGACTAAGATGTTCTCTAGTCCATAAGAGAAAAGATAGACTGTTTCATCTGGGTGGTGTTACTCTAGACGAACTAGGCTATAACGATCGTCCGGTAACCATTCGTGACGGGATATATGGGCCCGCAGGGTGACTCATTGCCTGGTCCAGAGAGTTAATTTTCAACCTATAGCTATCTGACAATTTATTTATTTTATCAAACTTGCTCTCAATTCCTCTCGGTACCAATCCGTAACATCTACACTACAGCGAAAGCAGGGCGTCACTCGTCTAAAACGATCGATAGATGACCTGGCCATTGATGTTCGTTCTGCGAAGTTTCTCTAGCGCCACTCCAATTTCCTGGGGAAAGCTATTCGTACTACTATCTATTCTTAGCTGCAGTAGTGGGGTATTAAAGAAGCTCTAGACAACCTTGGCTCATCTCAGCGCTTTTAGTATTGCGCCCAATCGATGCTTGAATATTAGGGTTTAGAGACAAAACCGAACTAGTAGTGAGACCGAACTGGTATAATTGTCAACAGCTAACAGAATGTATAATGATACTTTATCTGATTGTAATCTCAGCTGGAAATATGCAGAACTGAGAAGCGGAATTTGAAGCACTTGGAGCATCTTGACAGAGAATTAGTAGCTACTAGGTCTACTCTAGAGACAGGCGATAGTTAATTCATAAAATAGCTAATTGAGTTCATATGATGCTCCACTGGCCGATGATAGCCTTAGTATTACTCAGTAGGTAATTTAGGACAGGAAAGTGATGGTGGTCAATTATGATGAAGAAATTGGCTTCAAGTGCAGAAACATATAATTACTTCAGGGCGTGCGATCCTTTCTCTGTTTTACAGAATTGAATTAGTTGAGCAGCAAAATAAGCCGACAGAATATTCCAAAATTAACTGTACTGTTCTGCTTAGCTCGCATATATTCATATGCACTCAACAATACACAAGAACTGACTTTGTGGGAGTTCAGACAAAATCAGGAACCAGTTGCCCTTCCCCGGATCCATATCGGAGGGCTTGTATTAGCCGTCGGGGAAATGACGCACGTGACTACAGAGATATCCCCTCTGCTGCCCTGTTCTTTGCAATTCAAAAGGTACTGATTCTGGTCAATGTATGAAATTGGAGGGAGGCATTATCTAGCTATTGTAATTGTCCCCTCCAATGCTATCCAGGACTCACAGCAAGCATAGTTACCCCCAATATTGTAGTGAGTCATTATTCACGGAGATTACTTATCGGACGAAGCGATAATGACTTCCCTATCGATGCAGGACGATCCACAGTCGCTGATTGGCTCGTCGATAAAATCGTTACGTAAGGCACTAGCTCCGACTCCGGATGAGTCAACGACCTGCATCGACCGCCTGAATGAGCCATCGCGAAAACTGATCTTCCCCAGCGATCTTTTTTCTTTCCCAAGTCTCTTCTTTCATCCTTCTTTGCTGCCCAACAACCTCTTCTCCCGCCGGTCTATCCGATTTTTCCTACCAATCCCCTTTACACAATCACAATGGCCTCTGAAAAGCCCCGTGTCTGTCTGGCCTACTCCGGTATGTTCTCGCCCGCCCGACCCCGCAATATTGCGGTCTTGATAACGCTCGGTGCACTAACTCGACAATTTCCATTGCAGGCGGTCTTGACACCAGCTGCATTCTGCGCTGGCTGATCGGTACATTTTCCTCCCTATTTCCGGTCGAATATCCATCGGCTCGACTAACAATTGCTCACAGAGGAAGGCTACGATGTCGTCTGCTTCCTCGGCAATGTCGGCCAGGAGGAGGACTGGGCCGCTGTCGAGGCCAAGGCTCTCAAGATCGGTGCGAAGAAGATGATCATCGAGGACTTGCGCCGTGAATTCATCACCGAGCTTTGCTTCCCCGCCATCCGTAAGACTGCTAGTCCGGCTACGTGCCCCGATCAGTCCGCTAATCTCACATCGCAGAGTGCAATGCCATCTACGAGGGTCGCTACCTTCTCGGTACCAGCTTGGCTCGCCCCGTGATTGCCCGCGCTCAGATGCGCGCTGCTCAGCGCGAAGGCTGCCAGTTCGTCTCCCACGGTGCCACCGGCAAGGGTAACGACCAGGTCCGTTTCGAACTCGCCTTCTACGCCATCCAGCCCTCCATCAAGGTCATTGCCCCCTGGCGTGACCCTAAGTTCTTCAAGCGTTTCGCTGGTCGCAACGATCTGCTTGACTACGCCGCCCAGACCGGCATCCCCGTTACTTCCACCAAGGTGAGTGGTGTCTATACAGATTGCGCGAATACAGGCTAATACAGTATGATATAGGCTAAGCCCTGGTCCATGGGTTCGTCAAATTACTCTTCCGCGTGTAATTGCTCTAAGTGTACTAATTATTGGTATAGACGCCAACTCCGCCCACTGCAGTTACGAGGCTGGTAAGTGAACCATTGGCATTAGTTTACTTATCATTTTACTGACCAGTCGATAGGTGTCCTGGAGGACCCCAACCACACTCCCCCCGCTGACATGTGGACCATGACCGCCGACCCTATGACCGCTCCCAACGAGCCCACCGACCTCACCATCCACTTCGAGCAGGGTGTTCCCACCAAGCTTGTCACTCCCGAGAAGGAGTACACCGACCCCGTTGAGCTTTTCTACACCCTCAACAAGATCGGTTTCACCCACGGTGTTGGCCGTATTGACATTGTCGAGAACCGTTTCATCGGTCTCAAGAGCCGTGGCTGCTACGACTGTATGTGTCTTGCACCCCACACTGCACTTCCAGCTAGGACTTGCTAACATGCTGCAGCCCCCGCCATGACCATCCTCCGCGATGCCCACCTTGACCTCGAGGGTCTGGTCCTGGACGGCCAGGTCCGCGCCCTGCGTGACCAGTTCGTCACCCACAACTGGTCCATCCAGCTTTACAACGGATAGTACGTGTTCCACAGTCTTGGACTATACAACAGTTGTTCTAACCCATCCACAGCTACTTCAGCCCTGAGCGTGAGTTCATCGAGAACAGTCTCAAGTTCTCCCAGCGCGTAAGTGGCCGTAAATCCAAGTCTAGCTCAACCGCATCTAACAAACTTGACAGCGCGTCAACGGTGAGGTCCGTCTCCGCTGCTACAAGGGCCACGTCTACATCCTCGGTCGCTCCTCCAGCACCGAGAAGCTCTACTCCGAGCAGGAAGCCTCGATGGACTCCCTGGACGACTTTGAGCCCACCGACACCACCGGCTTCGTTGCCATTCAGACTATCCGGTATGACACCACTAATTGTTTGTTCCCAGAGAGAAACATAAGCTAACACCCTCCGTCCTACAGTCTGAAGAAGTACGGTCTCCAGAAGGCCGAGGAGGGCGAGTCCCTCAGCCGTGCATGAATTATGAATGAGCGTTATTGAGTCATGGGTGTATGGGGAAACAAAAAGTAAATAGATCACATAATACCAAAGGATTATTCAAGGCAAATACATCACTACTTATTACTGTAGGCAACGAAGCCATGAGTGTAACTATTTTCTAAGCCCAAACACCCAGCCATATCCCCAGAAAGCCAATCAACAAAATCAAATCGAATCAAAACCCCTCTAACAATAGTTTAGGATTCAAACAGAGCATTACTTAACCCCCTCCACTCCACCAAAGCTTGTTCCTAGGACGACCACCTACCTAGTACCTCCCTGAAGACAACCCCACCCCATCCCATCCCATTCCTAATTCCCTGTCCTCGCAAACCTTGCCAGTTGCCACGCAGGTACCCACCCCTACTGACGATGCCTCCTGATCAAAACCTACCCAATCACATTCCCTATATCCATCCAATTGACAAAAATTCCCGTCAACAGACTTTCTTTCGGCTGACAGGGTATCCATCCGTCCACCCGTTCCTAATGGGCGCGGGACGATGTGGAATGCCAGTGCCGACGGGGCCAGCATTCCGGACATGCCTATTGTTGTTGCCCTGTTGAGAGCTAGTAACCCGCGGAAAAGGTGAAAACGGGGATCCCTTCATTCTTGAGAAAAATTCTACTTTGGGAGGTTGATGGTGAGAGTGTTGGGAGGGTTGGATCGGAGAAAGGTTTGGCTGTTGCTGTTGCCATGAGCCACGACGGCGAGTACGACGACGGTCATGTCAAGGCTTATTATTCACCTGGGGGATACGTTGGAATGCATCGTCACCCCGGCGGATGGGTGGTTATGAGTGGGCTGTGTGCATACCTTGGGGAGAGTTTGGTTGCTGGTTGGGAGGTGATAGTGGCGCTGCTGGGGGGTATAAAGATGGTGGTTTTTATTCTGGGGGTTGGATTGGTTTGTAGATTGTTCATCAATTAATTCTATCTTTCCTAGTCTTGTAAAAGACATTACTGTATCCTGTATATCTCTCTGGATATACGAGATTAGCAACTTCTTAAATATCTATTGAAAAGTGAAGACATCAAAATGAAATCCGCTCTCCTCGCCTACGGCCTTCTGGCCTCAAGCGTC